GGAAGGAAAGAGATAATAAAGATCAGAGCATAAATAATCTAATCTCTATTTTATTTTTGCTCTGGAGATTAGAAAAACAATAGAAAAGAAACTAAAATTTCATTTTTTGAAAAGATAAAATCAGCCAGCCTTCAGTTAGACTAACCAAGAAAAGAAAAAGTAAAAAGACTCAAATAAAGTCAGAAATAAAGAGATATTACAGTTGACAACACAGAAGTACAATGGATCATGAGAGACTATTATGAACAATTATATGCCAAAAATTTGAATAACCTAGAAGAAATGGATGTGTTCCAACACACATACAACCTGCCAAGACTAATCATGAAGAAATAGAAAATCTGAGCAAACCAATAATGAGTGAGGAGATTGAATCAGTAATAAAAAGTGTCCTACCAAAGAAAAGCCCAGGATCAGATGGCTTCACTGCTGAATTCTATCTAACATTTACAGGAGAATGAACACCAATTCTCTACAAACTGTCTCAGGAAAAAAAAAAAAAATGAGAGAATACTTTCAAACTCTTTTTAGGAGGCCAGTATGACTCTAATCCCAAAGCCAGACAAACACATCACAGGAAATAGAAACTGTAAGCCAGTATCCTTGATGAGCATAGATGCAAACATTCTCAACAAAATACTAGCAAACCAAATCCAACAACACATTAATGGGATTATTCACCATGATCCAGTGGGATTTATCCCTGGGTTACAAGAATGGTTCAACATTCTCAAATCAATAAGTATGGTATATCACATTAACAGAATGAAGTACAAAAATTATATGACCATCTCATTAAATGCAGAAAAAGCATTTGACAAAACTCAACATCCTTTCATGACAAAAACACTCAACACTCAACAAATTATAGAATTAATATACTTCAGCACAATAAAGTCCATATATATTGAGCCTACAGCTAACATTATACTAAACAGTAAAAACTTGGAACGCTTTCTTCTAAGATCTAGACCAAGGATGTGCACTCTTGCCACTTGTTCAATGTAATATTGAAAGTCCTTAGAGCAATAAAGCAGAAGAAAGAAAAGACATCTAAATAGGAAAGGAAGAAATAAAACTATTGTTATTTGCTGACAACATAATTTTGCATACCAAAAACCTTAGGCCAGGTGTGCTGAATCAAGCCGGTAATACTAACCCTTTGGGAAGCTAAGGCAGGAGGATCACTTAAGTCCAGGAGTTTGAAACCAACCTGGTCAACATAGTGAGACCCCATCTCTACAAAAAAAGAAAAACCATAAAGATTCTAACAAAAAGCCATTAGAATTGATTTTAAAAATTCAGTAAAGTTGCAGGATACAAAATCAACACACAAAAGTCAGTAACATTTCTCTACACCAGGCGTCCCCAAACTACGGCCCGCAGGCCGCATGGGGCCCCCGATGCCATTTATCTGGCCCCCCGCAGCACTTCAGGAAGGGGCACCTCTTTCATTGGTGGTCAGTGAGAGGAGCACAGTATGTGGCGGCCCTCCAACAGTCTGGGGGACAGTGAACTGGCCCCCTGTGTAAAAAGTTTGGAGATGCCTGGTCTACACTAACAACTTTCCAAAAAAGAAGTCAAAGGAACATATCATTTACAGTAGCTGCTAGAAATAAAATATTGAGCAATATATTTCACCAATGAGGTGAAAATTTGTATACAGAAAACTATAAAACATTAATGAAAGAAATTTAAGAAGACACAGTAAATTGAAAGATATCCCATGTTCATGTAATGGAAGAATTAATATTGTTAAAATATCTATACTACACAAATGATCTGCATATTGAGTTCAATACCTATCAAAATTCCAATGTTATTTTTCATAGATATAGAAAAAACAATCCTCAAATTCATAGGGAACCACAAAACCAACTGATAGCCAGGGCAATCATGAGCAAAAAGAATAAAGCTTGAGGCATCACACTATATAATTCAAACTGTACTATAAACTGATAGTAATTAAAATAGCATGGCACTGGCATTAAAATAGACATATGAACCAGCAGACAAAGAACCCAGAAATGAACCCATGTATCTACAGTCAATTGATATTCACCAAAAGTGCCAAGAATATACAATGGGAAAAGGACAGGATATTCTATAAATTGTAGTGGGAAAACTGGATATCCATAGACAAGAAAATGAAATTGGACCCTTATCTCACTCATACAAAAAACAACTCAAAATGAATTAAAGACATAAAGATAAAACCTGAAACTGTAAAACTAGGGAAAACTACGTGACATTGGTCTGGGCAATGATTTTTTAGATTTGATCCAAAAATGCAGGCAGCATATGCAAAAGTGGACAAATGGGATGACATCAAAATAAAAAATTCCTACACAACAAAGAGAGCAATTAATAGAATGAAGAGACAACCTAAAGATTGGGAGAAAAATATCTGTAAGCCATACATATGATAAGGGGTTAATGTCCAAAATATATAAGGAACTCAAACAACTCTATAAAAAGAAAATAAGACATGGGCAAGAACCCTGAATAAACATTTCTCAAAAGACAACATATGAAGTGCTAACAGATACATGAAAAAATGCTCAACATCACTAGTCATTAGAGAGATGAAAATTAAAAATACAATGAGCTGTCACTTCACACCTATTAGAAGGCTATTATTAGAAAGACAAAAGATAAGTGTTGGCTAAGATATGGGAAAAAGGGAACCCTTGTACACTGTTGGTGGGAATATAAATTAGTACAGTCATGAAAAACTGTATGAAGAATCCTCAGAAAACTAAAAATACAGTTACCATATGACCCAGCAATCTCACTTCTCGTTATTTGTCTCAAATATTTGAAGTCAGTATGTCAAAAGAGATGTTCATTGCAGCACTATTCACAATAGCCAAACTATGGGATCCCCCAAGTGTCCAACAGTAGATAAATGAATAAAGAAAATGTATACACACACAATAGAATAATAGCCATGAAAAAGAATGAAGTGCTGTCATTCATGGCAACATGGATGGAATTGAAACTTAGTAAAATAAGCCAGGAACAGAAAGTTAAACACTGAATGTTCCACACACATGTAGAATCTAAAAGATAGTTGATCTCATAGAAATAAAAAGTAGAGGCTATGTGGATAGCATTGGAGAACATTATGCTAAGTTAAATACACCAAACACAGAGAAATACCACATGTTCTCATATGTGGAATCTAAAACTCATACACGCAGAGAATACCCAGAAGGTAGGGGATGGGAGGAATGGGGAGATGATAGTCAAAGTGTACAAAGCCTCAGATAGGAAAAATAAGTTGGATTTTTTGTTGTTGTTGAGATAGAGTCTTGCTCTGTTGCCCAGACTGCAATTCAGTGTGTGATCTCAGCTCACTGAAACCTCTGCCTCCCGGGTTCAGGCAATTCTCTCACCTCAGCCTCCTGAGTAGCATGTCACCATGCCCAGCTAAATTTTTTGTATTTTTAGTAGAGACAGGGTTTCACCATGTTGGCTCAGCTGGTCTCAAACTCCTGACCTCAGGTAATCAACCTGCCTTGGCCTCCGAAAGTGCTGGGATTACAGGCGTGAGCCACTGTGCCTGGCCAAGTTTGATATATTTTTGAGATCTGTTGCATAGTGTGGTGAATATGAGTACTGTACACATCAATATCGCTAAGAAAACAAATTTTAAATATTCTCATCACAAAAAGTTAAATATTTAAGGTGATGGACATGTAAATTCACTTGATTTAATCATTCTACGTTGTGTTCAAAAATCACAATATCCAGATATAGGTGATGGGGAGGAAGGCAGCAAATCACACTGCCACGTGTGTACCTATGCAACAATCTTGCATGTTCTTCACATGTACCCCAAAACCTACAATGCAATAAGAAAAATCACAATATCACTCTATACCCCATAAATATATACAACGATAATTTGTCAATATGTAATTTTTAAAAACAATTTTTGAAGGGTCTGACTGTAGTAGTGACTGCTACCCATGACAGTAATTTATAAGTTCAATTCCTCCAGTAAAAAGGTGCATGAAGTTAAATCTGCTCAACTGAATATACCAAAATTAACTTTTTTCCTTTAACAAGGCAGTCTATATTTTAAAAAATACTAGTACAACACTATTATAGTAACTTATTATATATTAGAGACAAATTACTTAAAGGGTGCAGCAGATGTAGATTCAGACAGGTCAGGCAGTCTTGGGGAAAGCCTATTGTTTTAAATATTGGTTAATGATTGGCCCTCTGTAGAATGACTTTTTTGAGGAAATGAAAGGTAGAAATTGAGAAAGATTAGGAAAGAGGTTCCAAAAAATTGTGACCATCAGCAGGTATGCTTCTTTTCATAGAAAAAGATAATATTAGCAACAAAATTTGCCCAATATCAGCTTGAGTGAATGCTTATAACTATTCAGGGCTTAACACATTCCTCTTTTATATTTGTAGTACTGCAAAACAAAAGTTTAAATATTCACAAACATCTTCCCACAAAACTTTCCCTCATTTCCCAAGGGAGAGATGGGGCAGGCAGAAAGCAAATAGTCAAAGTTACTTCCTTCCCAGCTTTTGTATTTCAGAAATCTAGACTTCACTCTATTTTACTTCAATTGGTCAGACAGGGCAGGAAGAAGAGAAGAAAGTATGAAGATAAATGAAAGATTTTATTTGAGAACAGCCATACCTTAACTGAAAGTCGGACCTTTGACAGGGAGGTGAGTCCTCTTGAACAGCACCTACAGCTTAAGAATGAATGCAAGTGAAGTAATGGGAGACTAACCTCACAGTGCACATTTATTCCAAGGGCTTAGGAATAGCTGGACAAGGGAATAGTGTCTTGGGAGGCCCCAGTAAAGTCCCAGGTATGTCATCAATTAGAAAACTGAGGAAGCAGTGTTCTGACCCCCTGAGGTAAATAGTCTAACCCATTTCTGTGATGGTCATACATATACCCCTCTGGAAAAGTCTAGGGCTGGGGGAGGAGGAATGAGATAATGAATTGTCTTGTACAGTCAGGCCCTTAGAAAATATTTATTATGCCACTATTCATTACAGACGAAAAAAGTTTCGTACACAAAGTCAGAAAGGGAGTAGCAGGGCTGGGTCAGCAGCACCACAGCAGCCATAATGAAGCTGGGTCCCTTTCCCAGCCCCTGTGGCAGCAGGTTCTAGCCCTGGGGACCATTCAGACACCTTCACTGCCATCAGAGACAAGAATAGGAAATAAGTGGGGATGGGAGGAAGGCAGGAGTGAATTCAATAAGGGCTTAACAAGCAATCTAATGAAAGCACCAAACCTAAACAATGATTTTTTTTCTCTGAGGTAAAAATTTGCAGTTTCACAATCACCCCCAAACATGTAAAAGATAAAAACTGTCCCCGGGAAATGCAGATCCAAACTGAGTTTTACACAAGCAACCGGGAGCCAGGCAGGAACTTGTTCAGGGGCCACAGGTTGCTCTCGCCCACATTGGAGGTGCGCCTCTGGCACTGCTTGCAGCGCCGATACTTCTCACATTGGTCTAGGAGAAACAGTTTGTCTGAAGCCCTGAGGAGAGGAGAGCAAACGCAGATCAGCAGGTTCCTGGAACCCCTGGAGGCCCAACTTGGAAGCTGGTGTGGTGGGAGGTACACAAAAGAAAAGTAACACCTAGTCTGTGCTCTCAAGAGTTTACGGTCCTCTTGAGCTTACAATCCGCATGCTGCACTGCAACCCATCCTGGCATCCCCTGCTTCCAAATCTCTGCTGGCTTGTCTTTCTCCACTGAATAAAAGGCCCTGATTTGTGTCTTCATAACAGTCTGACCCTACCCGTCCCCTGCCTCAACCACCCCAGGCTACTGAGACCTTGCCAAAGGTCACACAGCCTGCAGACAGTGGCTCCAAAGCCTCTGTGTTGACTGCTTTCCACACAAATTACACCTCTCCCTTTTCAGCTCCCAGGAGACAGTGTTTGAAAGGGAGATCAACCATTAAGTTGCTGGTTATCAGTTAACAGCAGAAAGTTAAGAGTGGACGTACAATGAAATGTCCCAGGAGGCCAGAAGCCTCTGCAGAATTAAGGGCAGGAGAGGGAGTGGAGACAAAGAGGAAGACAAAATCAATTAGAAGCAGAGATAAAGAGGCAGTGTAATTGATTTCCCCTTTGAAAGTTTTTCCTTATGCAAGACAATCCCTCATGTGCTCCTCTACGCCATCAAAATTTCTCCGTAAGTGGATTTTTTTTTTTTTTTTTTTTTTGAGACTGGGTCTCCCTCTGTCACCCAAGCTGGAGTATAGTGGTGTGATCACAGCTCACTGCACCCTCAACTTCCCAGGCTCCAGTGATCCTCCCACCTCAGCCTCCTAAGTAGCTGGAACAACAGTTGTGCACCACCACACCCAGCTAATTTTTGTATTTTTGGTAGAGATGTGGTTTCACCATGTGGCCCAGGCTGGTCTCAAACTTCTGAACTCCAGCGATCCATCTGCCTCAGGCTCCCAAAGTGCTGGGATTACAGGCTTGAGCCATGGCACCCAGCCAGAATTCTGTTTAAAAAGATTATCAAGGGGAGTCTTAAAAGGAAAAGGAATGAACTACCTTAGAAGTGAGCAGAGGAAGACCTGCCTGGCTTGGTAATGTGCTAACTGTATACATATGGACTTTGGTTTTACTTTTGCTTTATTTTCTTTTTATACCAACCAATTCCTTCTTCCTACTGCTGCCTGTCAAGTCTCTATGCACACTTGGTGTAGGTCCTCAGACAAGTCTGCTCCACCATATACCTGGAGTAGATTTGTTAGCCTGCCACTCAACATTATTTCCTGTGTCTTCTCAATCCTTTATCACCATGTCAGCCAAGCACTATTCCCAGACAACAAAAATCTCCCTGTCATTGATCTCACTGACTTTTACCTGCCTTCCCACATCACTGAGAAAATAGCTTAAAATCCCCAACTGCCCTTTCCCCTCCTTTTCTCTAGGCCAAATTACTCCACTTCTCCTTTAGAACCTGTTTTCCATATCATCACTAATACTTTCATTGTTTTGGGTTCTACTCATTAGAAAAACAAGTGAGAAATGCTTTACAAGAAAACCTGAAAGGAAAAGTAGAGTTACACATCAAGATCCATTATACAGGTTTTATCCATGATTAAAAATTAATTGATAATTGGCAGTTTAAACTATTATTTTGGTATATTTTGATTTTAATAATTTGTATAGACTTGATCTGTTTCATCAAATGCTATAAAATCATACCTTACATTTGTGTTTTAATGTTTTTTCAAAGTGTAATACAACAGTAGTGATGTGAATATTTAAGCTGAGGAGAAGGGAAAGAGATATAGTAATTTCAGAAGGTTGTTCTTGGTTGACTCCATAATAGGCACCTTTCTTTTCCAATTGCCAATCTTATAACCCCTGGCCCTACCCTTAAATAACCATTCCCTAAGCCTTGAAAATGTTCAGATTGGAAATTCACTCCCCCTGCTTCCAGATAGTTATTTCCAAAGAGAATCTTCACCCTCCACAAAAAGAAAAAGCCACCCTAAACAGAGGCAAATATTAGAGCAGGGTTAGTAAATACCTAGCATACAACTCAGCATTCTCCAATCCCATGTCCATAACAGACATTTCTAATCAATCACAGAAGTATTTCCCATGGAATACAGATTTGCTTTCCCCACAGAGTTCTATAGGCAGCCACTACCAATCAAGTGGAGTTGGCACTTGAAAGCTATTCCCATCCCAGGATTAGAGGAAAGTAAACAAGGAGCAGGAAGATTTTGAGGTTTTAATCAGGCATTACCGTTCGAAAGCCTTCTCCTCCAGGTCTCGCTGCTGCTTCATCGCAGCACTCCTTTCCCAGTCCTCCTGTAAGCATTGGTTGATTCTTTTTACTCGCTCCAGCTCAGCAGTTTTGTCTGCTAAGTGCCTGGAAAAAAAAGAACAGCCTGACTCCATAATACTTGGAAGGGCATGCACCAGCTTTGGGATCCCCATTCCTTTTGTGTTAAATTAAACAAAAAAACCTTCTGATTTTGTTTATACTAAAAAGCATGAATACTGGAAAAGCATAGTGAAATTCCTAGCTCTCAATTTATGGATCAGAGGTCTTTCATCTTCAATCCTGGTTTGGTTTAATGGGATTGAAACCCTTTTTCAGTTAACAACTTCAGCCTGTAAAACCATTAATTTCCTTTGAGGCTAATTTAACTCATCTGAAGAATCATCCCAAATGGATTTCCTATACTCTACGTTTCTTTCCTTTCAGTCCAGTCTCTCAGCTGCCAATACTCAGCCTACCAATCACTGCAGGCATTTTACACGGCAAAACAGATAGGTATACAAATAAAAGTCTAGAAAAAGAGAAAATAAATAGAAGTGACTAAGCAGGGGAAAAGAAAATAGAGAATACAGTAACATTGTGAAAAAGGCAAGAAAAAAAACAAATGTTTTGTGAAAGCCATGTCATCAAAGAAGTGACAGCAGTATAGTCTTTCTCTTCATGTGGAGATATTCTCAGTGTTGTGTTTCTATCACTGGTCTCCAAAAGCACCGTCACCACTGTTGTGAATTACTTTAAGCCTGGTTCAAATTATGGATGTCTATTTCTTGTCAAACTGAAGTGTGTACTGTCAGTTCTCAAAGTATAACTGTTGATGTAGCCTGCTCTGAAGGGCTTTTTGTTACAGGTAGCAACAGCCACTGGGTGTCAGGATCCTCCAGCAAAAATCAGTTAATGTCCTCTGTACTGTCTCACTTTTTCCTAAAACGGCACACCTTTTCATCTAACAAGCATTGATTCAACAGCTGTTGTGTGGTTGTTATAAAGACTAAATGATACACAGAAAGTGCCAGTGCTGATCACGTAATTGGAGCTCAGTGACTGAAGAGCACCTATTACTTTTTTCATAAGTTATTTTTCTTTTCATAGATTTTTTTAAATTGTGGTTTAAAAAAACACATAGCAAAACATACTATCTTAACCATTTCCAAGTGTACAGTTATTTGGTGTTAAGTACATTCACATTGTTAGGCAACCGATCTCCAGAATGCTTTCACCTTACAAAACTGAAACTCTGCACCCATTAAACAACTCCCCATTTCTCCCTCCTCTAGTCCTTGGCAACTACCATTCTCCTTTCTGTTTCTATGAATTTTACTTCTCTGGATAACTCATATAAGTGGATTCATACAGTATTTTCTCTTTTTGTGACTGGTTTATTTCACTTAACATAATGACCTTGAGGTTCATCCATGGTACAGCGTGTGTTACAACTTTCTTCCTTTTTAAGAATGAATAACAATTCCATTATACCTTGTATATATGTATATACACACATTCCATTTTGTTTATCCATTCATCTGTCAATGGATACTTGGGATTCTTCGACTTCTTGACAGTTATAAAAAGTGCTGCTATGAACATGGCTGTATCAGCTTGCGGTTATTTTGAATACATACCCAGAAAAAATTACTAGATGATATAGTAGTTATATTTTTAATTTTTTGAGGAACTACCATACTGTTCTCTATAGCAACTGTACCATTTTGCGTTCACACCAGCAGTACACAAAGGTTTCTACTTCTCCTCACCAACAATTTTTTTTTTTCATAATAGCCATCCTGATGGATGTGACATGGTATCTCACTGTGATTTTGGTTTGCACTTTCATAATAACTCATGTTGTTAATTATTTTTTCATTTGCTTGTTGTCCATTGATACATTATTTTTTAAAGAATAGGTTAAAATTTTAAATACCTAGAAAGTAAGAAAATGAGGCAGAGATGGTGCTGGGAACAACTAGCATTCTCACAACATTGCTGAGAAGCAAGCTTCTATACCTTCTAGGAAATTTAACTGTCAGTATCTGGTAGTATTTCAGATGTATCATACATTAGCCAGGAGTGGTAGCATACACCCGTAGTCCCAGATACTTATGAAGCTGAGGCATGAGAATCCCTTGAACCCAAGAAGCAGAAGTTTTAGTGAGCCAAGATTCCACCTCTGTGTTCCAGCCTGGGTGACAGAGACTCTGTCTCAAAAAAAAAAAAAAAAAAAAGGAAAATTAAATGTACCATACACTTGATCCAGCCCAGCAGCCCCACTGCTGGGAATTTGATAGAAACAAAAGAACCAGTATAAAAAATGTATATTAAGAATGTTTAATACAGAATTGTTGTAATAACAAAATATCTGGAAACAAAGTGAATGTCCATGAATAATGCAAAAGTTAAATTATACATTTATATTATGGATAATATGCTGCTATTAAAGATGAATGAATCTTATATATATGTCCTAACTTGTATATGACATTGTTAGGTTAAAGAAAGATTAGTTTGCCGATAATATATAAGATCTCATAGACAATTTCATTTACAAAAGTGGAAGAAATATATATGCATATTGGTTAAATAGGAAAAATTGGTTTTAGTTTTTTGTAAAAAATAAAGTTAATATGTAACCTACGTTTTAAATTATTTTTTACAAAAATAATTTAAAATTTTTTTCTAAGCAATATACACATATACATAGGCTACTTAGTAGGGGAGATTATTAACCTTTTTTTTTTTTTTTTGAGGCAATCTCACTCTTGTCACCCATGCTGAAGTGCAGTGGCACAATCTCAGCTCACTGCAAACTCTGCCTCCCAGGTTCAAGCATTCTTGTGCCTCAGCCACCCTAGTAGCTGGGATTACAGGTGCACACCACCACACCCAGCTAATTTTTGTATTTTTGGTAGAGGCAGGGTTTCACCATGTTGCCCAGGCTGGTCTCAAACTCCTGGGCTCAAGCGATCTGCCCGCCTCGGCCTCCCAAAGTGCTGGGATTATAGGAATGAGCCACCATACCCAGCTAATCTTCAGCTGACTTTTTTTAATGAGCATGAATTGTTACTTTTGAAAATAAGAGCAAAAAGAAAAAAAAACAAGTATAAATAGCTTAGCAGTCCTGTCTGGATCACATTGACTAAATTATTCCTTCTGAAAGAAAGTAGCCTTCTGTTTGTCACAAGAGAATCTAAGATCACATGTTGAGATGAACCAGAGAAGGGCAGGGAGTTGGAAAAGATAAGGGAAAATGCAATAACCAGTAAAGAATATGTAAACAGAAAACAAGGATCTGACCAATACAAAAACAAGGATTTGTTCAGAGCTTTACAGTTCCCAAAAATGTCCTCACATTCTCCCAGTAAGGGTAGGAGGGACAGATGTGATTATCCTTCTTTCTCATATGAGGAAAATAAGGCTCAGAGACCTTATGTGTGATCTGGCCCAAGTCATACAACTTAAAAGTGACAGAGTTTAACCCTCCTGATTCCAAGTTTAGGAAATAACTAGAGAAGCAAACAGCTAGACGCAGAAGAGGAAGTAGCAATAGTCTTAGCAACAAACATAAAGGGTCCCAGATCTGACTGTGGAAAGCACACAAGGATGGGCAAAGCCACTGTGGGGCAACTGATGGTGGTTCCACTACTAGAAAACAGAAGCTAAAGAGGAGCTGAATTATTTCCTAAGGGAATAATTTTTTTTAAAAAATCAGTGGGAAAGATATCTTCCTTTCAGGCATGTTTAGGTTTTATAAATAGATAAAGGACTTGTACAGAGGATATATAAGGAACTTTCAAAACTCAACAATAAGAAAACAATTTATAAAATAAACAAAAGGTTTGAATTGATACTTTATACTCTTAACCAAAGAAGATACATGGATGGCAAATAGGCATATGAAATGATGTTCAACATCACTAGTCATTAAAGAAATGCTAGTTAAGCTTGAGACACCAGTATGCCCCTATTAGAACAGCTAAAATTAAAAAGACTGATCAGGCCGGGTGCTGTGGCTCACACTTGTAATCCCAACACTTTGGGAAGCTGAGGTGGGGGATCGCTTGAATTTAGAAGTTCAAGACCAGCCTCAGCAGCATAGTGAGACCCTGCCTCCACAAAAAAATTTAAAAATTAGCTGGCTGTGGTAGCACTCGCCTGTAGTCCCAGCTACTCCAGAGGCTGAGGTGGGAGAATTGCTTGAGTCCAAGATGTTGCGGCTGCAGTGAGCCATGATTATGCCACTGTACTCCAGCCTGGGTGACAGAGCAAAACCCTGTCTCAATCAATTAAATAAAATAAAGACTGATTAAACCAAGTGCTGGAAATAATGGGGAAGACTAGAATTCTCAAACACTATTCATTGGGAATGTTAAGTAGTACAACCACTTCAGAAAGCAGTAAAGTGTCAAGAGAAGTTCTTAAAAACCTATTTAATAACTTTTTCTTCATATAATGAATTAAGATAAAGTAAGATGAAGCATGTAATAAGTATAAAACAATGTCTTGCACAACTAACTCTTCAGTGTGTTAGCTGTTATTCTTTTCTACTATTGTATGAGAAAGATGAGGGGCAGGGACAGGATGGAAAAAGAGACAGAAAGGAGGGAGAGTAAGTGAGGAGAGGAAGAGGGAGAAAGATCAGAGTCTCCTTACTCTCTTTGTGTCCTCTGAAGCATTTGTAAATCCCGCCTCTGGTCCACCAGTTGATGCAGAATGGCTTTCCTCTTGTGGTTAGCAGCTGCCTCCAGCTGGTGTTTCATGTATTTCTGTTCTCGCTTTTGCTTTTCCACCACCAGTTCACCCTCATCCTTACCAAAGATGGGCTCGGAGGAGTCTGGCTCAAAGAGGGGCAGCTGGGAGGGTTTGTTCTTTATCTTAAACAGGGATATACATAATACAGGTTATCATTCTACCAGGGAATAAGCTTTATGCACAACCTTGTAATGTGGTAAACTACCAGTGTCTTACAAGAAGGAGTGAGGGGCTCAAAAACCACCAAATGCATAATACCTAAGAATATTCGTAACAACTTACACATATTTTAGAATGTTGCTAAAACATTGCATAATTTTTAAAAAAATAATATTTGTCCCTTTACCTGTGCATCCAAAGCTCGCTTGTAACACTCTGTTTCTTCCTTCTTGTCTTTTAAAAATTTCGCTCTTTGCGCACAAAGTCTGGCAGTTAAGAACAGGAGAAGGTGAAGCACAGTTTTTCAGTCTTTAGTAGTACGGATTAACATCATCAAAACATATTTAGTAAGTATTAAATAGGAATAAGAGTCTGGTAAATAAAAATTGATGTTTTATTCTGGTAGCTTTCGTTTTTAAGAAAGAAAAGAGTAATTGAAATCCATAGGCGGCCAGGCACAGTGGCTCACGCCTTTAATCCCAGCACCTGGGGAGGCTGAAGTGGGCAGATCACTTGAGATCAGGAATCCGAGACCCACCTGGCCAACATGATGAAACGCTGTCTCTACTAAAAATATAAAAATTAGCCAGGGGTAATGGTGGGCACTTGTAGTCCCAGCTACTCAGGAAGCAGAGGCAGGAGAATCGCGTGAACCTGGGAGGAGGAGGCTGCAGTGAGCCAAAATCACACCACCTCACTCCAGCCCAAGCAACAGAGCAAGACTCCATCTGAAAAAAAAAAAAAATCCATGGGCTAGTGAACAGTGTATTGAACACAGGACAAACAGGACAGGTATAGGCAGGTGACTGACCATATTGTCCAAATGCATTACTACTGAAACAGCCAACACACTACCACCACTCCACCTCTTATGACACCTACCAGTTCTTTTAAAAATCTAAAGAGGCCAGGCGCAGTGGCTCAAGCCTGTAATCCCAGCACTTTGGGAGGCTGAGGCGGGTGGATCACGAGGTCAAGAGATTGAGACCATCCTGGTCAACATGGTGAAACCCCGTCTCTACTAAAAATACAAAAAATTAGCTGGGCATGGTGGCGCGTGCCTGTAATCCCAGCTACTCAGGAGGCTGAGGCAGGAGAATTGCCTGAACCCAGGAGGCGGAGGTTGCGGTGAGCCAAGATCGCGCCGTTGCACTCCAGCCTGGGTAACGAGAGCGAAACTCCGTCTCAAAAAAAAAAAAAATCTAAAGAAAACAACGAAAAAATATCTAGGTAAGAAAGCAGGAATTGACCATTCTATAAACTGATTTATTTTGAAATCTCTTGTTACTTATTCTATTACAAATTATGGTTCTTTTTATGTAACCTCTAAAAACACATATATGATCTTTTAAGTGAGTACAGTGGAACATACACATTTTATAGAAATAGATTTTTTTCATCACAGAAACTAGGTTCTCACTTGTTTTAGGAGTTCACACTATAATAGCCTCCACAATTGCTCTCCTAATCTCAGCAGCAAAAATATGTGCCTCCTTAGGCATATATAAACTCCGTGTCGCTGACCCTGTTCCAGGCCTCAGATAGCCCAATCTGGACCAATCAGATTATCTTTCCTGAAAAATTGGAATTGAGACTAAAACATTCTCCAAGTTTGAGCTGGAACACAGATGATGTCAAATAAGCACGTGTGTAAGCAGAGGGAAAACCACTCTACATGGCTTTTTAGTCCCTGGTTCCAGTCCTTCCTACATTCCCTGTACATTCCTGCTCTCAGGTTCTATGGGACACCCCTACATAATTATAATAAAACCTCAGCTTTGCCATGCGGTCATTTGAACATCAAATAGCAAGGAACAGCTGCTCAAGACGAGTCCCTTTCTCCGTCTACTGGTATTGATTGCAAAAACAATACAAAATGATGCTGTATGTTATAGTAATTAGAGATTGGCCATCACTACTATAATAACTATGGCAGCTTTTTAGATTTTGTAATAAAAAATGATGGTACTGATACAGAAGGGCAGTGCTGGGAAGGGAAGAGTGTGGTCCCTTTAAATTATACTGAGCGGGGAAGGGCGTGGTCCCTGACTAGAACTCCACCTGTGTCCACAGTCCTAGATGAGGACAGGCATTTTTGTTTTCCTGCCCAAATGCATTTCTCAAGACCACCCTGGCTGGCCACACCCTGATCCTTTGCCTATAATACCCCCGAGACCATAGCAGGCAGGCACACAAGTGGCTGGACGTTGAGAAAAACACATAAGCGGAGGAACCATAAGTGGCTGGATGTTGAGAGCTGTCCAAAGCACACCAACAGGCACCGGCACACCAGCAGGCCATCAACCAGTAGAATGACATGGAGTTTGGGTGGGGTAGTTGGAGGGGAGCGCGGGCTGCTGTGCGGCCCGACTCCAGGGGAAAGCCATCTGCTGAAAGCTACTTCTGTGCAATAAAACCTTGCAGTCATTCTCCAAGCCCATGTGTGATCCAGTTCTTGAGTACAGCAAGGCAAGAACCCTCAGATACAGAAAGCCCTCTCTCCTTGTAGTAAGGCAGGGGTCTAATTGCACTGACTAACACAAGCCACCTATAGACAGCTAAACTAAAAGAGCACCCTGTAATACATGCCCACTGGAGCTTCAGGAGCCGTAAACATTTACCCCTAGATACTGCCATGAGGTCAGAGCCCCACAACCTGCCCATCTGTATGATCCCCTAGAGGTTTGAGCAGCAGGGTACTGAAGAAGTGAGCCACATTCCCATTACACTCCCTGTGAGGGATACAAGGGAACTTTTTCCATTTCAGTACTGGCTGCTAACTGGGTTAGTTTGTTCAGTTGGTTACAGTGGTGTTAATGAAACTACCAATGCTGATTCAATCCTACATAGAAATTCACATGAAAATTCCAAATCTATTTTTCAGAGCATGTGTAGCTGACTCACTCCTCTGTAAGTTGCACTTGTTCCAGGTGGTCCATCAACTCTCTGTTTTGTCTTTGCTTTATTTCGTTTTCCCGTCTGTTATCCATTTGTTTCAGGAGACTCTGGGAATATTCCTCCTGCTTAAGAGCATTAAGTGCAGGACTGAGTGGCCGTTTGTCAAATAGGAAGGATTTCTAGAATGAAAGAGAAGCAATTCATTTATGCTAGAATACCAAAAAACAAGGTTAATAATTCAGAAAACTAAAATCAATCAGAAATTATTTCTTAATTTATAATATTTACCCAGACCTCAACACACTGACCAGCTAGTGTTGAGGTGACCCACAGAATCATATGAATGTGTTCAAGGATGAAGCTGAGCTGAGCTGTGTTACCAAAACAGCAGGGGTTTGGTCTAGATGCTCACTGCATAGAAAGCCAATCACTGAGACAATGATTATTGCCAAGGAAGAAGGATTTAATTGGGTGCTATAGCCAATGAGATGAGAGATCAGTGTCAAATCCATCTTCTTGACCAATTAAAAGTAGGGGTTTGTATAGCAGGGAGGAAATGAAACTATGTATGGGAAAACGGGAATTCAGGAGGGATAAGGAAGCAATCATGGTGAATTGAGGGGCCTGGCTCATTGTCTGGATATGATGATCTGGTGAGTTTCAATTCTTTGACACTTTTTGGAAGGCCTAGTGGTTTTTTCCTGAAGAAGGAACTCAGATAAAATAAAAGTTTCAAGCTTCAAGACCAGAAGGGTCAATTTCTATGTTTATTTAAAAAAACAACAACAACAAAGAAAACAAAAAAAAAAAACCCTGTCTATGGGACTATTGGGACAGTTTCAACTGGAATCCCATTGCTGAGACAGAGATGAAAAACTACTCCATGGGGAGTAGGTTGTGAATTAGCATTTACAATATCCAGATGGAAAGAAGAAGGAATTCTGAGTCCATGCAAAAGCATGCAAGGACAGAGAGGAGGTGGAAAGAGGGGAAACAATACCTACTGTGGGCCTGGCTATTCTAGACCATGATGATGCAACAGTGAACAACAACAGAGATCCTCACATTCATCAAGCCTGCATGCTGGGCAGGAGACAGTGAACAAGTAAACAGTACATCAGGTTATTTAGGATAGTGCTAAGTGCTAGGAAGCCGTTGTGATAGCAGGTGGCTGGGTAGGAAAATAACTAAATTGATTGGTTATTAGGGAAGGTTTTTCTATGGAGAAGATGAATCACCTTCACTATAAATATCAGGGAGACCTGTGTTCCATACAGAAGGAACATTAAGTGCAAAGATACTAGATGGAAACAAGCTAAGCATGTTCGATAAGCAGAAAAAAAAGGTCTCTGTGGCTGAGGCCTAGTGACTAAGAGGAAGGCAAGAGTCAAAATGTGTAGGATTTGATAGGTCAAGATGGGGAGTCTAAATTTCATTTTGGCTCAACAGGACGCCAGTGGAGGTTTTAAATGGGAAAATAGTATGTTTTGGCTAACCATATTAAAATATTACTTTGGCTGCTTTGTGGAGAATAAATTATAGGAGAGCAAGAATGTAAGCTGTGACTCTAAGGGAAGTATTGCAGAAGTCGGGCCTAACAGTGTGGCTTGGCAGCACTTTCAGTGTGGCAACATTAAAGATGAAGACATTTGAACAGATATTGGATACACTGGGGAGGTAGAAGCAGCTGGACTGGCAGATGATCAGATGTCAGGAACAGAGAAAGGAATGCTGGGATCATGACTAGACACAGTTTTGTGCAAAAATGGCTGGTTGGTGGTGCCACTTACTAACATGAGAAAACAGAAAAGAACAGGTTACAAAGGGAATCAAAAGTTCTGTTTAGGTCTTTTAAAATTTAAGATGTATATAGATATATCAAAGAAGAGATACACAGTGAACAGTGATAAATATAATCTGGAGCTTTTATATAAGAAGAGAGAAAGATCATGCCTAAATTTCAGAAGCCCCATGCTCTCTCTCCGTCCCTCTTTCCCTGCTTCCCTGTCTGGAATGCTTTTCCTCCCTTGGTTTCTTTACCTAACTCTTGTATGCCAGAAAGTCTTCCCAGATCTCTGGTCTAGGTTAATGAATCTCTTCTTTTGCTTCTTTCAGTGCCTGTTTCAGAGATTTATCATTACATTTACTATACCACACAGTTGTCTCTTTAAGAGTCTGTCTCTCCCACTAGAGACCTCTTCACAAGAGGGAACCTTGTATTCCTAGACACCAGCACAGTGGCTGGCATAGAGGAATTTAATAAATGTTTGATGATAAATAAATAAAACATTTTATTAGATTTACATCCAGAGCGTTGACTGCCTAGATGATGTTATATAAAGAGAAAGTTTTAGGCAGAAATAAAGGTAGGTACATGATGATTGAAATCATTAAATCAAGCAGTGAAGCAGTTGGCTCACCACCATCTGAATCTGGATTTCTCAAACATTAATGTGAATACAAATCACTTGGTGATCTTATTCCACTGTAGATACCCATTAAGGAAGTCTGGCATAGGGCCCTTGGTTCAGCACTTACAGCAAACTCCTAGGTGGTACTGATTCTGCTGGTTCTCTTAGGTCCGAGGGCTGGGCTCTGCTAGCATACTCCTCCCTCCTTTCCACCCATCCCAGGTCTTGGTTGAGAACTACCATAATTAATCAGGGCTGCAGTGACTAATGGGAACAGTACAGTGTATGTGAATAGTGTGGCTGTAGACACTGGACAAGGCCTGCCCTAGAAGAAGACTTCAAACTGTACCACCCACTTGTCAACTCTGCTGCTTAAGATAAAAGGCACGACTTACAATACAGAGAGTGGGTCCAAAGACTCACAGATGGGGCAAGTATTAGCAATAGAAATTTTTAAAAGACTTACATAAAATTCTGATTTCACATTCTTGTGGTTTCTTATGGCTTCCGCAACTCCGAGATTATAGGCAGCATTTTTCTGATTCTGTTCTCTAATAGCCAAACTTTTCATCTATTGCAAAAAAAAAAAGGTTAATTTTTATTGAATTATTTATTGAAAAATTTTATTGAAGTGGAACCTCTAAAAATTTTAATTCTATTACATTAAAATAATCCAACCATGATAGAAATCTGCCTTTTGGAGGCATTTGTATTTTCTGATATCTTTATAAATTTATAAAAGTAGATTGGGAAAGGTATTTTATTTCTTGTCCTTGGCCTTTAGGTACCACCACTAGAGAGTTCTAAGGAATGGAAGAATTCATCACAAATGCACGAAAGGGCAGGCATTAGGGTCAGTTATTAGACACCACGTAAATCTGGAAACAGCAAGTATAAAAGTGCCATTCTGTCTTTGCTTGAAATAGGACATGAATCTGAAGGATAAAAGCCTTCACCAGAGCTATGTTTTATCAGAAATAAAAAAATAAAATAACATAAATCCAATAATTCCACCGTTAAAATTCAGATCCTTTGGGTTAAAAAAATCAGTGAGATGTGCAAACATCCAGCTACATGGATATTCATCCCATTATTGTTCGTTATTAGTGAAAACTTCGACACAAGTTTTAGTCCAACAGTAAATACTTGACTAGATATGTCACAGTACAGACATACGATGGAACATTTTTAAATTACATGATAGGCTGGGCTCAGTGCTCATGCCTGTAATTCCAGCACTTTGGGAGGCAGAAGTGGGAGGAATGCTTGAGCCCAGACATTGAAGACCAGTCTCTACAAAAAATACAAAAATTGGCTGGACATGGTGGCTCAAGCCTGTAATCCCAGCACTTTGGGAGGCCGAGGTGCGTGGATCACGAGGTCAAGAGATCGAGACCATGGTCAACATGTGAAACCCTGTCTCTACTAAAAATACAAAAAATTAGCTGGGCATTGTGGTGCGTGCCTATAATCCCAGCTACTCAGGAGGCTGAGGCAGGAGAATTGCCTGAACCCAGGAGGTGGAGATTGTGGTGAGCCAAGATCGCGCCATTGCACTCCAGCCTGGGTAACAAGAGCAAAACTCCATCTCAAAAAAAAAAAAAAAATACAAAAATTAACTGGGCATAGTGACGTATGCCTGTAGTCCCAGCTAATCTGGAGGCTAAGGTGGAAGGGATCACCCGGACCCAAGTAGGTTGAGCCTGCAGTGAGCAGAGATTGTGCCATTGCATTGCAGCCTGGGTGACAGAGTGCAACTCTGTGTCAATAAATAATAAATTACATTATATAATCATGTTCTACTACCCCATATTAAAGACTAATCAAGATGTTGGACTACCTGGTGTCTGAAGAGAGCCTCCTGATCTTTCAGCATCTGATATTGCTGTATGAGTCTCTCATCTTCTATCTCTCTCTTCCTCCTTTCCTCACTGTAGTACAACGGGGAATTTCGTTGGGCTCTTTGCAAACACACATAGCACATTTCCTACAATCCCAAATTTCAGGACAAATAAATTTTTACATTTTACCTTTTTGCTTTCACTTTCCCTTCACAAGCTTTCCAACAGCTAGGTGTATCAAGAAACATGTTATTAAAGGATATATTAGTGACAGCAAAATGAAATTTGCAGAGTGGAGCCCAGAAATACTCTGAAGAATTTTCTGAACTCTCACTTCATCAAAAGTATTTATAGCACCTGAAATAAAGAAAGGGACTTCTCAACTGTTTTTTTGTTTACTAGTATATCTTGACTAGTAGATAGATTTATGACAGTCCAGTTTGAGTCTGAACACTTGAGTACTTGAGCCAGACCCATATAATTAAGCAAGAGAGATTCCCAGAACTATCTTTGGTAAACAAAAATCAGAATAAGATTCTGACAGGGCTTTATTTATTTAGAAGCACTGTACCTGTCCTGCCTTATTATGATCCTGGCAAGCTGGAGATGTTTTGGGCTTCATCTCACTGTCATGTTTCAGACAATCTGAAGATGATAAGCTATAAAAAAAACAGTGCAATTGATTAAGGTTTCATACAGTATGACCTCAAAAGCAATAATAATTTTAGAGGCAAGTATAAATATAAAGAAAAATATCTCAGTGAATTACTTCAGAGCAGCTATATGTATAGAGGTTAAGAATATGTAACACAGAATCTGAATTTGTGTCAGATAAAGGTGAGTTTGAATCCTAGCTTTCTTGCTTACAACATGACTGCTATCAGACAAGCTGTGTAATCTTGCAGAGTCTCAGTTACCAGTTCTGTGAAATGGTGATGAAATGCATTCATTCCACAGAAATATATTGAGTGCTTACCATGTGCACTGTTCTAAGCACAAGAGAAGCAATGAAGAACAAAATACGCACATACAAAAGTCCTTGTCCTCATGTAATTAACATTCTGATGGGATAGAGAGCCAGTGACGATAAATAAGTGAACTCTACAGTATGTTCCTTGATAATAAATGACTTGTAATCCTGGATTAATGGAGTGTTAAACTGTAAAGAGAATGACCAGGGAAGTTCTCGCCAAGCAAGTGACATAGGAGTAAATACCTGAAGGAAGTAAGGGAGCAACAGTGTAGATATCTGATGGTAAACACATTTCAAGCAAACAAACCAGTGCAGTTCTTCAAGTGGGAGGTGCCTGTGGTCAGTGTGGTGGAGGGAGATTAATTAGGGTTGAGTGTTAATACTAATGCTAGTATTAATTCATTAGAAAATAGGACTGATAATATCACCTAAAAAGCAGCTCAAAGAATGAAAATATTTCTTATTATTTTGTTTATTTATTTATTTTGAGACAGTGTTGTGCTCTATTGCCCAGGCTACAGAGCAATGGCATGATCGCAGCTCACTGCAACCTCTGTCTTCTGGGTTCAAGCAATTCTCCTGCCTCAGCCTCCTGAGTAGCTGAGATTACAGGCGCCTGCCACCATGCCCGGCTAACTTTTGTGTTTTTGGTTTTACCATGTTGGCCAGGCTGGTCTCAGACTCCTGATCTTGTGATCCATCCACCTCAGCCTCCCAAAGTGCTGGGATTACAGGTGTGAACCACGGCACCCAGCCAAGAATGAAAATATTTAAAAGTAAGTTGAGAAATAGAGAACAGATTCAGAAGCTCAAACATGAATTTAATTGGACTGAATTTTTAGAATAAAGGGAATGGCAAAGAACAATATTCTAGAAAATAACAGGTAAGAATTTTCCAGAAAGTCATGACTCCTAAGAATAGTCACACAGAACATCAAGAAATAAGATTCTTAAAAGCTACAAGAAAGAATCACAATCTGATTGACTCAGACATTGCATCAGGACAACTGTCAACCTCTGTAATTTTGTTGTCTTCATTGCACGCATTGTTTATTTAATTCAGTCTTCCTACAAGATTGTAAGTTTTATAATAGCAGGTTTATGCATACATAACTCTGGATCTTCAGTGCCTAGAATAGTACCTGACACATGGTGGTGTTCAGTGTTTGTTGTATTGAATTAAATTCCCAGGGATTATACATTGAATTCTCAATTATCTTTCATAACAGTGATATTATCCAAAACAAGCATGTTGAGCGTTTTGAACATGACTTTAGTAATCCACAAAGTACATAAATTGCACATATGATAGCTGATAAATTTTGACACATTAATAAATTGAAGTTTGGCAACACAATGCAAAGTACAAAGTTGGGTGCTCAGTAAACATTTAATGAGCATGGTTGAGTATGGTTGACTGATTTGAGGTCTTAAAAAGTATCTTATCCAAAGAGAGAAGGAGAAAATATTATAGAAATCTTCTGACATACCATCACAAGAAGAAAACAACCATGATAAATTGTAATACACTCATTCATTCAAGTAATGTTTATTGAGAACTAATGGAGTGCCAGCTGTGTTAGGCAAAACTGCTTTCCAATTTGATGTAAATATAGCACTGTGTCACATCATAATATCCAAGCACTCGGAAAACAGGGGAAGCCCAAATCTACAGGAAAAGTTGGATGATCTCAACTCTGCTATTTTGTTTCCATCTGTGTCATAACATATCCCACTGAATTACAATTTATCCCTCTGCATATGTCTGGCTTTCCCACTAGGTGGTGAACTTTGGTCACCTTTATTGTTCACATCACCTTGCATATATAAAGTTCTCAACACTGGATAACTGAATTAACAATTACAATTCCCTGCATCAAGCAATGACTCAAAAATATACTTAGTAAAGTACAACAGAAAAAAAAGTCAATGCATTACCTTTCAGGGGTCATAATCTTCCCACCACTCCCACTTCTCTCAGACTTTTCTAGCAAACTGACATTTGTCACTCTGGCAGGAAACAAAGCTTGTCTGTCTCGAAGTCTCTTGGGTGATGGGATATCTATAGAATAAAGAATGAATGAAAGTGAGTTTTCTGTCAACTCTCAAACCACTAACTGGGTAGTTTTTGCCAAGAGAAATTTTCCTATCTGATATACTCTCTTATCTTTAAATAATCATCCTTTATCCTACGGTGGTATAAAAAATGTTTTTGCTGTATATCTGCAAAGAAAGCACTGTGCTAAGCATTTAGAGGATATAAAGAGGCAAGTAATATAAATGGAGGAAGGGGGCTGAGTATAACATGACCAGAAGACATGTTACTTTAGTTAACATTTCTTAAGAAAATGAACAGTGGCAGTTTCCCAACTTTGATGTCTGTAGGTTTAGATATTTTGCCTGTAAATATCTTTCAACAGATATAGTTGAAGAGAAAAATAAGATATAAACAAAAAAACTGAGAGCTCCCATTTTGAGGTCATCTTATGTGCTAACAGTGCTAAGTGCTTTATATATATTTAATAAATAACAACTTAGGGCAGTGATGCAAAATGTCTAAATCACAATAAATGTTGCAGTCTTTTTTTTTTTTTTTGAGACAGTCTCGCTATGTCACCTAAGCTGGAGTGCAGTGGGCCAGTCTCAACTCACTGCAACCTCTGCCTCCCGGATTCAAGCAATTCTCCCACCTCAGTCTCCCAAGTAGCATGTGCCACCATGCCCAGCTAATTTTTTTTTTGTATTTGTATTTGTATTTGTAGTAGAGGCGGGGTTTTGCCATGGCGGCCAGGCTGGTTTTCTGACCTCAGGTGATCCACCCGCCTCAGCCTCCCAAAGTGCTGGGATTACAGGTATAAGCCACTGTGCCTGGCCAAATGTTGCAGTCTTTAAGCATCTGACATGTTCAGAGGAAACAAACCACTTCACAATCCAATGAAAAGTTTTCGTGGAGGAAGTGAGATGTGAAAAGGGTACTAAAAGGTAAGTAAGATGGAAATAGATTGAAAGAAAAGGACAATTCTGGCTGCAGGAAAAAAAAATGAACATAAGGTTAAAGTTGGGGAAGGACAGGCATGTTAGAAGAGCATGAATAGGCCAAGCACACAGTGGCTCATGCCTGTAATTCTAGCACTTTGGGAGGCCAAAGTGGGCAGATCGTTTGAGCTCAGGAGTTCAAGACCAGCCTAGACAACATGGCAAAACCATGTTTCTACAAAAGTACAAAAATTAGCCAGGCATGATCACACACACCTGTGGTCCTAGCTACTCAGGAGGCTGTGATGGGAGGATCACCTGAGCCCAGGAGACTGAGGCTGCAGTGAGCCAAGATTGTGCCACTGCACTTCAGCCTGGGTGACAGAGCAAGACCCCATCTCAAAGAGAAGAAAAAAAAGAACATGAATAGATAATTCTGCCCAAAGAAGGGGTCTGTGTAGGGCACAGTGAGAGGTGAGACTAGAGAAATGAAAGCATGTGAATATTAGGCTAAAAGTTTACATGCGATTCTGTAGATCACACATAGAAAACTGACATCCACAAGCCAATGTTCACCCATTGGTATGTTTTGTTTGGCCTAATCAGCACTTTTTTGTTTTAATATCAACAAAAGTTGTCAACATTTAACAACCAATAGATTTCACATTAAAGTCAGGATCTCTGCTTCTTTTGAAAAATCTGAAGATTTGTGCTCACTTCAGTAGTACATATACTAAAATTGGAAAAATCAGAAGATTTGATACCACTTGAGCCACAGTTCCACAAAGCAACAATCTACTAGAGGAACAGTTCTGAAAGTGTGGCCTGACAAGCCCTAGGGTCCCTAGGACCCTTTCAAAATGTCTTTGGGGCATCATGCTGTGACTCACACCTGTAATCCTAGCATTCTGGGAGGCCAAGGTGGGTGGATCACCTGAGGTCAGGACTTCAAGACCAGCCTGACCAACATAGTGAAGCCCTGTCTCTACTAAAAACACAAAAATTAGCCGAGGATAGTGGCATATGCCTGTAGTCCCAACTACTCCAGGGGAGACTGAGGCAGGAGAAACACTTAAATGCAGGAGGTGGAAGTTGCAGTGAGCCCAGATCATACCACTGCCCTCCAGCCTGGGCGACAGAGGAAGACTCCGTCTCAAAAAGAAAAAACAATGTGTTTGGTTTAAAAAAAAACACTTTGGAGTCCTAGGGTTTTCTTCACATTCTTCCTCCTGAACAACCTATCACAACAGATTAGATGCAAACAAAAGTATGAGAATCTAGCTTTCTTCTATAGACATCAAAGTGGTAAAACTGCCACTCTTCATTTTACATAAGAAATGTTAACTAAGCTAACATATCTCCAACTCACTTGTATCCAGACCACTTCCTGCATTTGCATTACCTGCCTGGACCCTGTAGTCATCTGAGTTTTGGCCCCTTTGAGCTTTGGGGAGCCAGCAAAGAGTTGATGACTTAAGACCCTGAGAGTCATAGGATCTAAGGCTCATCAAGTAATTAAGCTCATAATTAAGGTCAGATGCAGGATTCTAGGAATAGAATATATTTGTTAGAAATAATATAGTGATTATTTGTGGCTGGGCGCGGTGGTTCATGCCTGTAATCCCAGAACTTTGGGAGGCCTAGGTGGGTGGATCACTTCAGGTCAGGAGTTCGGGACCAGCCTGGCCAATGTGGTGAAACCCCATCTATAGAAAAAATAAAAAAATTAGCCAGGCATGGTGGCATACATTTGTAATCTCAGCTACTTGGGAGGCTGAAACAAGTGAATTGTTTGAACCTGGGAGGTGGAGGTTGCAGTGAACTGAGATTATGCCACTGCACTCCAGCCTGGGCAACAGGGAGACTCCATCTCAAAAACAAAAAAAAAGGAATTATAATACAGTGTTAGTTTATAAATTTAACTTTATTTACTTTGGGCTAAGCAAATATGGCTGGCTCATAGCAGTAAAGAGGGACAGATTATACCTAGAAATCATTGGCCTACCTCTGATGCCTTCTTTGTCTGACTGGTCTTTTAAGTTGCACTTCCTTTCTCTATTCGCTCCACATTCTTCTACAAGGGTCTCCATAGGCAGTTTGTTCTCCATCTCCTTGAGCTCAATCCTAGGAATGAGCCAATATGGTTTTCTGCTGCACTGAACCTGAACAGGTGACTGTGTGAACTCTCAATTCTTGGAAGCAACCCATCCAGCTGGCTGATTTTGAAATAAGCCCACTTTCTTCAAGGGGTAAGCACTCTGATTTGCTGAATACATACCATAGATTAATTTCTTCCAAGGCTTTCTGGGAGTTGACCAAGACCTTCCCCTCTATACCTAGGCTCAAAAGCAGCTTGCATATAGAGAAATTGCCTTGACATCCTTTATTTAAGTCACTAGTTTTTGTCTCCATTTGAATTTTCTATATCCTAGTTCTGTAACTAGATGATATGGAGTGATACAGTGAAAGGAGGTTATGGATAGCTTGAAGGTAAGGATTAATAGCCTGGTAGAATATGCCCCAAAATAACCATTTGTCTCCTCCTTCCTTCTCCCCTTCACTTCCTCATCCTCACCCCAGACAAAAGTGAAGGACTTGCAAAGGTACAATTTGTAGCGGGGGAGGAAGGCGGGTGTTCAGTTAGTGTGTGTAGTTGTAGGATTTCTTTGGTTTCAGGTATGGAGTACGAGGTTGGAGTAGGGAGTGAGGGTGGGGATACTTTCAGTCAATTCAGGGGCCAAATGTTACATAAATAAAACACCAACAATTATTTTGAGTATTTAAGTCCCCATGTCCATTTCCAGGCCCTTGACTTCATGGATCCTCCATCTCTGTTCTTTGACCCACTACAGTTATTTCCCTCCTGGAGTGCCTAAGCCAAAATATGTGAAAGGCAACAGCCACATTTGCCTTTCAAAACAATCAAAATAAAATTGCTTTCAATCCAGTGATTTATTTTTAATGAGTAAGGCAATATGGTGCAATGGAAAAAACACTGGACCGGGAGCCATGGTCTTATTTCTAGCTTGGCCGCTTATTAGTTGCATGGCCATTTCATGTGCAAGAGAGGGTTGAACTAAACAATCTCTAAGGCTTATTCTGGCCTTCACACTGAATCTTCTGAGGTATGTGTCATACAGCTCTTCCAGGAGGGGGTTTGTCCAAAGCAACAAACACAAGGGGATGTCACACTCAAAACACCTGAGAAATTCTCATACTTTTATGCTTTACTCATTCTTCCTAAAGTAATAATGCTTTAGCAAGCTAGTTTTTATTCTCCAAACTCCCTCCACCTGAAATGCACAGTGGTTAATGGCACAGTAATTAAGATTATGAACATAATTAAGGGGACACAATGAATAAGTGATGGCCAAACTGGAAATAAAGCTGAAGTCTCCTGATTCCTATTCCATTGTTCTCAATAGTGACCCATGTTGCTTCATTTATTTAAAACAAAAAAATTAAAATTAACTTTGTATCATTATAAAATGGAGAGTTATAATACATATGTCACCTGGTTGTCATGAAGATTAAATACAGTAATATGCAGTCACCAGTAACACCCGCTGCGCTCATGGAGTAAAGCTATTTCTTTATTCTAATTTATCTGGTTATCTGTTTAACCCATTTAAAAATCAGAGCTCAGAGAGGAAATTGGCTGAACTGCAGGAAGAAAAAGCAGCTAGTGCAAAGTAAAGGAAAGCTCAGCAGGTGAGAAGAGTTTTACTAATACTGCAGGGACTAAGGTTGCTGGAAGGTAGTATCAGAATTTCCAGGGAGCAAAAGGTAATTTTTGAGAAGAATAAATGGTCCTGGCAGGGTGGCTCACACCTGTAATCCCAGTATTTTGGGAGGCCGAGGCAGGTGGATCACTTGAGACCAGCAGTTCAAGACCAGCCAGGCCAATACGGTGAAACCCCGTCTCTCCTAAAAATACAAAAATTAGCCAGGCGTGGTGGCATGCACCTGTAATCTCAGCTACTTGAGAGGCTGAGGCAGGAAAGAATTGCTTGATCCCAGGAAGCAAAGGTTTCTGTGAGCCGAGATCGCACCACTGCACTCCATCCAGGATGACAGAGCAAGACTCTGTCGATGGGGTGGGGGTTGGGATGGAGAATAAATGTCCATTGTTATTTAACTTAACTACATAAAGTGTATGCACTAAACTCTTCTTTGTTGGTGCATTTAGAGAGGGAGAGACAAACAGGATGCTTTAAAAGGAGCATGAGCTATAAAAAGATGAGAAACACTATCCAATCAGATCAGCAGATCACCAAGGAGCACTCGTGCCTCGAGGAACCCGAACCCATGAAGGAAAGCACTCACTTTGGAAACACAAGCACACTGTTGGGCCGCTTCACCAAGGCATCTCTGCTAGACAACACCGAGTCCACAGTGCCAGGCCTCTAGAGCATAGAGAGAGAGCAAGGTTATGTCTAGGCTGCTGTCCAGGACTCAGACAAATAAAAAAACTGCAGGCTCATAGGCAAGTCTACCACGATGCTTCTGTTGTCATTGTTTATGTTTAGTGCTTAAAGTCCAGAGCTTAAAAATCCAATGAGGAATGATCTCATTCATCAGAGTAATCACCCTGGGTAGCTGCACAGCAATTCCATTGGTGTTATATTTTCTCAAGCCATTTCCTTTTTGGGAACTGCCTTCAGAGTTGACAGATTCTTTTGGATATCTTTAAAAAGATAGCAGACTTCCTAAAAATATATGGAAAATGAGCAAGCTGTCTAATTCCACTCTTGGCCCAAATTAGGCAATTAAGAGAAGGGCTTTCGAGTCAGGTGGGTTCATGTTCAAATCCCTATACCGCTAACAGGTATGTGGCCTTAGGTACTAAGGTTTGTGAGGATAATAAAAGGATCTAATAGCACTTCCATGAGGTGCTCTACGTAAGTAGCTAGCACATAGTAAATGCTGAACAAATGGCTATTATAATTATCATATAATAGACACATTGTCACATTTTTAGTATAGAATATATAAAATCATTATTTTTGCATGAATGCTATAGCTTACAAAAGGCTTTGAAGGGAATTCCCAAAAAGAAATATAGAAAATTTTTCTAACAAAAGCAGCATTACTGAAATAAGCACACAGCTTTCCAGGGGGACTACTCTACCAGACAGTTTTAAGTTACAGGTCATTTGGGAATAAACTCTAACTTCCACCACTTTACAGCAGTTTTCCAAAATGTGTTTTACAGAGCTAATGAGACATTAATAATATATTGGATTAACCTAGAATTCCATGATAAAATACATTCAGGCAGTTAAACGGACTGCTTTCCAGCCAGACTTCTCAGCTCCTTTAACATGTTGATGTGTTCTGTCCCTCTGTCCATGAGGGTGATTGATTCGATCAGCAGTGTTCAGTCAGTTTGACCTCCAAATTCTTTTTTCATAGAGTATCTCTCAGGACTAGTTCTTTTGGAAAACATTCTTTAAAAGATGTGCATTAGAGTTTAGCAGGTCAAGGGAAATGCTATCTTCTCTTTTTTTTTTCTGCCCACCCCACGGCCGGGGCCAGAGAGGGTCTGACCAGGTCGGTTTTGAAGCTATATTCTCTTTTAAACACATATTGAAGCTACAAAGTTCAGCAGAATCCCTGAGGGTTAAAGATGAGGTAGCTACTTTGGTCTTGCTTATGGACTTGCAAATCTTGTCTTGTGTTTTCATGGAAAAGCAAAGTTTTCTCCTGCATGTGTTTCTCACTTTCCACACACAGGGTTGGCAGTCCTGTTAGCATTCCTACATGAAATCAGTTTGTGTAAAAAACACCAGGAGTTTCATTATGCACAACTCTATTTCCTAAGTCCCTATCCCAGAGTTTCATAAAAGGAGAAATGAGTAGACTTCGATATTAACAGCCTTTTCATTTAAAAAATCAAGCTTTTGCTTTAGGGGATATAGGATTACATAACATTCCATCATAGTTCAGTTCATTCATGTCTACTTTGTTAGCTCCCACAGGAGTACTTGAGGTACACCAAGTATTCAATAAATCCTGTAGATTGACTATTTCATTTGCTTAAACTCTGCTACATCCAACTTAGTATGAAGGTCACACCAGCTACTTAATGGTTGACAGTAATGATGCCAATTAGGAAATTTCACCTACAACATGGCAAATTAAAAGCTAAAGATTTTAAAACTTCATGATTCAAAGTAAATTTTGTTGTATACTTTCATTAAAATAAAGTAGTAGAACAGACATTAAAAAAATAAAATAAAATAATAGAACCAGCAAAAACTGAGTGGTTAGGAAGTCTGGCCTTGAATTCCAGTTCTTGTAGTTGACCTTGGGATGTCCACATAGCCTCTCTGAGCTCCTGCTTTTCTCTCTTGTAAAATTAGGTTGATAGTAATGCTGCTTGTGTAATATTTTGAGACTCATATAAAATAATACATGTGGAAGAAGTTTTTTAACTATAGGCCAGGCGTGGAGGCTCATGCCTGTAATCTCCACACTTTGGGGGGTAGGTGCATCACTTGAGACCAGGAGTTCGAGACCAGCCTGGCCAACCTGGTGAAACTCTGTCTCTACTAAAAATACAGAAATTAGCTGGGCATGGTGGCGCGTGCCTGTAATTGCAGGTACTTGGAGGCTGAGGCAGGAGAATCACTTGAACGCAGGAGTTGGAGACTGCAGTGAGCTGCAATCGTGCCACTGCACTCCAGCCTGGCTGATGGAATGAGACTCTGTCTCAAAAAACAAACAAACAAAAAACCTATAAGGTACTATAAAATGTTCAGATTTCTAGGCCGGGCGCGGTGGCTCAAGCCTGTAATCCCAGCACTTTGGGAGGCCGAGGCGGGTGGATCACGAGGTCAAGAGATCGAGACCATCCTGGTCAACATGGTGAAACCCCGTCTCTACTAAAAATACAAAAAATCAGCTGGGCATGGTGGCGCGTGCCTGTAATCCCAGCTACTCAGGAGGCTGAGGCAGGAGAATTGCCTGAACCCAGGAGGCGGAGGTTGCGGTGAGCCGAGATCGCGCCATTGCACTCCAGCCTGGGCAACAAGAGCGAAACTCCGTCTCAAAAAAAAAAAAAAAAAAAAAAAAAAAAAAAAAAAATGTTCAGATTTCTAAGAGTTTCCATTACAATTTGTATCCCTCAGTTGGCTTTGACTCTTAAAGTTCCTTTGCTCTCCTAATCTTTTTTGTCAAAGAGTTAATCATGTATAAACAAGCACTTCCATGTACTTCAGGTAACTGTCACTCAAAATATATCAACCTTCGTTTTTCTTAATTACAACACACCTCTAGATGAGACAGAACTACAATTAGGAGAAGACTTAGGAGAAGGAAAACATTAATTTACATTTGCTAGGGCCTTTGCCAAAGCCCCACTTCCATCCATGGTACAAAGGAAGTCTTTATAAAACCTCATCTTCACTTTGCTGTCTCTGATCATGAGGACCCCAATTCCTTTGAATGTAAACTCCACATTTTGTCTCATGGAAATGGATCGCGATAAAAAAAGCAACGTCTCCTTCACACATCCTTCCACTACATCTCTGTTAAATGGACCCTCCAGGGCTATCATGACAAAATTAAGTGGAACAATTGGGATATCACCTAGAGGAGAAAAGACAGTTGGGATGGAAGAAAGAAAGTGGTGATTACAATAAGTACATATCATACACACTCACAAATAATTATCTGATTCTCAATAGCCTAAAATAGAATCCTCTGGTTGAAGCCTTTAGTTGTACCCAATGTAATAATATTACTGCAGACAATTAACACAAGTAGTAACTAACATATTAATCAGTACAATTTTCTCTGAAAGTGTAATGTTCAATGCTCAAAGTAAGGACAATTAGCTTTCTAAATAAAACTGTAGACAAGCTTTTGATTTTCTCTAGGACACATGGTAATAACTAGCTGCTTCTCTTACTCAAAGGGTTTCCTAAAGTCTTCATCTCTCTTACCTCTCAGGACATACTGCAGCAATATTTGCTGATAGGGTTTGGATCTGTGTCCCCACCCAAATCTCATGTCAAATTGTAATCCCCAGTATTGAAGGTGGGGCCTTTGGGAAGTGATTGGATCATGGGGGTGGATCCTTCATGAATGGTTTAACACCATCCCCCTGTTGTCATGATAGTGAGTGAATTATGAAAATCTGGTTGTTAAATGTGTGTAGCACCTCCCTCCTCTCTCTCTCTCTTCATCCTGCTCCAGTCATGTAACTCATGACTGCTTCCTCTTCGCCTTCTGCCATGATTGTAAGTTTCCTGAGTTCTCCCTACCCATACTTCTGTACAGCCTGAGGAACCATGGGTCAATTAAACCTCTTCTCTTTGTAAATTACCCAGTCTCAGGTGATTTTTTATAGCAGTACAAGAATGAACTGATCCATTTGCCTGTATTCTCCAGTTATCATGACATTTTTACATGATTACAAATACCTACAAGTGTTAAATATTTTTAAAAGACAGCCATCTTCACTAGAAGTTATCATTTAAATGAAATAGGGTCTTATACAAGGGTGTCAGACTGAATGACTCACATAAAGCTTTTTCTCTCTGATGAGCCCACATGTGACATTACAAAGGAATACGATTATGTCTATCTTGAAGGAAGCACAGGATCTATTCAACTAGAACAGATGTAAGAGCAATATAAAGTTCACAAGTCAGAAAAAGGGTAAATAGCAAAGAGGATCAAGATGACAAAGCCAGAGAGACAACAACAAGGTCCACTGATAAACAGGACACAGAGAAGATGAGAATATTCTCAACATTTGCTCAGTAAGCATTAGTTATCCTTTCAAATGTCCACCATTGCTGAATGATGAGAATTAACAAGACATGAACTTCCCTGCAGTCTCCTGCACAATTTAACAGTAATTCTAACCAACTCCCTCCCTTTTTTAAAATATGCAAATTTCTTTTTTTTTTTCCCGGATTCCAGACAAAAAATATGCAAATTTCTTAAAAAGAAGGCTGTCTTGCCTGCCTCTGGATTTTCCCTTCCCTTTTCCCACTCCTTCTCTGCAATGAGTCTTCCAAACTACTCCTCTGAGTTAGGACACTATCATCTCATAATTGTCAAGTCAGTGGATACTTTGCAAATCCTATATGTCATGGCCTCCCTTTTTTTTCTTCTATACATGAGGCCACTCTTGGTTCTTCCATTTCCTCTCCCTTGGTCCCCTTTGCTGGCTTCCCTCCTCTTCTACTTCTTTTAAGATACTGAGGTTTGTTTATTTGATTTACAGGATTTTGTCTTTGTTTATCTCTTCTTCTGAGTGTACATCCTCTCCTGGGTAAACATCTAAATCTTGATCTCTAGTCTCCACCCCTTTCCTAAGCTCTAGAATCACCTCTATCTAAATAACTCTACATGTATGTCAAATTCAGCATGTGCAAAAGCAAATTCACTATTTTATCCACTACCAAAATCCACCTTTCCCCTTCATTCTTTATAAAGGCAGTTAATAGCATGAGTACCCATCTGTTCTCCAACCAAGAAATCTGAGTCATACTAAATGCCTTCCTTCCTCTTCCTACCAACCACTCTCAACTTAAGCTCTACCAATTCTATATCTGAAATGTGTCATAAGTAGATACGTTCATTTCTCTCCTGATGACCATTGTCTTCATTCAGGCTTTTACTATATTTTACTAAGCTACTGTAACTGAAAGAGTATCTTTCTAAACTAATCTCATTTGTACAGATAATTCCCTGTTCAAAAATTTTCAATGGCTCCTCAGTGCCTGTAGGATGATTTCTAAAGTCCTGTCACACCATATAAGGCCCCTCACAATTGGCCCCTACCTGCCATTTTCATCTTTTCTTCCTCTGCTTGCCCCCACAATGATATGACTCGGCATACAGAAGTACCCATTACTTCCCTAACAGGCTGCATTCTTTCCTGTATTCTTGACTTGTTCATATTGTTCCTGAAATGTCTTCTCCCAGATTCTCTGCTCACAGAGTCTTATCATCCTTTAAGATCTCTTCACATGTCATCTTCCTAATGCAGAGTTAGGCATGCTCTCCTCTGGGCTTCACAGCATTTGATCCAGTTTTGATGAATTTAGCTTTTATAGCACTTAATCATGTTTCATCATTTCTTATATATTAATTATCTATGCTAGAGTCAAAAGAACTATGTCTTAATAATCTTTGAAACCCACTATAAAATGTTTGATTAGTTACAGATACAGTCTGGATTCATGTCCCTGCCCAAACCTCATGTGAAATTGGAGGAGGGGCCTGGTGAGAGGTGATCATGGGGATGGATTTCCCTTTTGCTGTTCTTATGATAGTGAGTGAGTTCTCACGAGATACGATGGTTTAAAAGTGTGTGGCGCTTTCACCTTCACGCTCACTCTCTCCTGCTCTGCCATGGTAAGATGTGCTTGCTTCCCCCTTGCCTTCTGCCATGATTGTAAGCTTGAGGCCTCCTAGTCATGCTTCCTGTTAAGCCTGCAGAACTGTGAGTCAATTAAACCTCTTTTCTTTATAAATTACCCAGTGTTAAGTAGTTATCTATACCAGTGTGAGAACAGACTAATACAGTTACCTAGTTAATTAATGATAAAGAATCATAACCCCAAAGCTAAACTGTAAACAGAAATTTTTCTTTGGGGGTTTTAAATTTTCATTTATTTCCTTGTCTTCTTGTTATTATTATTATTATGCAGCCTCCAACTCCTAGGCCGAAGTGATCTTCTTGCCTCAGCCTCCCCAAGTAGCTGGGACTACTTGTGAACCATCATACCTGTCTAAGGTTTTTTTTTTGTTTTTTTTTTTTTTGAGGTAGAGTCTTGCTCTGTCACCAGCCTAGCATGGCATGATCTTGGCTCACTGCAACCTCTGCCTCCCAGGTTCAAGCGATTCTCCTGCCTCGGCCTTCCGAGTAGCTGGGACTACAGGTGCATGCCACCACGCCCGGCTAACTTTTATATTTTAATAGAGACGGACTTTCACCATGTTAGTCAGGTTGGTCTTGATCTCTTGATCTCATGAGCCACCCATCTTGGCCTCCCAAAGTGCTGGGATTACAGGCATGAACCACTGCACCTGGCCCCGTCTATGTTTTGTTAAATGATTTTATGTTGAGGCAGAATCTTGCTATGTTGCCAAGGCTGGTCTTGAGCTTCTGGCCTCAAAGGATCCTCCCGCCTAAGCCCCCCAAATTCTGGGATTACAGGCATGTGCCACCATGCCCAGCCTAGAATTATTGTTTTGAACTAATTCAGTCATCTATGTCTAATTCTGAAATTGCCTCACCCAGTAAAAAATGTAATTGTAGATCTAAACTACTTTTTTGGACTAGACTATAAAATCCAAGATGGAAAATGAACTTTAATTCTAAGGCACAGATGTTTTTGCAAAAATGTTAGCTTTATTTTCATTTTCTCTGATAGTTTTTTGATGAAATATGATATATTTCTTCTGACATAAAACTCTAGGCTTTTCTTCTTGTTCCCATGAAAGGGGGAAAAAAAGGGAAAAAAATTCTAGGTAAAAATAGCTGAAAAGTTCATCAAGCCCACCTAAGAAATTCTAAGTATAGTTTGTTGGCATTTGTTTTTCCAGTATATTATTCTTTTGAAAGTAGAAAGTTACTCAAGTGACTCTGAAAATTAACTTTCAGGAACATTAACTTAGAGGATAGTTACAGCCTCTTATGGGGTAGGGAGCAGGGACAATCAGGAAGGTCAAAAGGAACACAGCCAGGAATCAGGAAGCCACTAAATAACCAAGGCAGGGGTTACAAAGTCCACACACTAAAGCTGAATGGAAGCATCCTGTGACAGGGATTATGCCTATTTTGTTTACCACTATTATATCAAGCACCTGGAACAAGGTCTGACACATTATTGGTCCTCAGTAAATATTTGAAGAAGGAAAGGAGGGGAGGGAAGGAGAGGAGAGAATGAAGGAAGGGATGGAGGGAGGTGGGTTGGCTTTAGGGTATGAGAAAGGTATATAAGGTATACATTAAGTCTTTACGGAATTACTCAACTTCTAACTTTCAAATTTTAATAATTCGGATTACATATATGATAGAAACACAGTGATCTTTTTGACAGCTAATACTGACTATAGTTCTCCCAACCAGAGATCCTAAGTAACTTTTTCTTCTTTAGAAAATCACTTTTAATTTCTTAGGATCTGAAATATGAATAAAGGGCTTACAGCTCTGTGGTATGGCTTTTATATAAATTTTTCTTCATGTCACATCAGAGTTTTTCATTCCTGCCTCTTAGGTTACTGGGGTTTCAAATGGCCTTCAGGAAGACTCATTATTTTTCTGCTTCGGCCCCTCCCTCTGCCAGAAGCACCTTGTGAAAAGCAGACTCCTCAAATCAGAAGGTAAGACAGCAGCGGTGGCTATGCTTTGTCCTTTCACTTTTTTATCCCCAGAACGGTAACCTTCATGGAAAATCCTACATGACAAAATTATTTACCAGGAGTGTATACTTTGTTTTGTTTTAGTCCATGGATCTGCACTAGCTTCTCTGCCATGATAAACACAGGCCTCTGGATTAAGATAAATTTGTTGTTTCCCACCTCAAGCTTTTGTCTCATGAAAGTGAAAGTTCCAAATCCTGGAATATGAACCCCCTGAAAGGAAAATAAATAAATAAGTAACAGAATTCACTGAAGGAGTGAAGAAAAAATAATCCTTAATATTATTATCCAAAAAACCTGACAAGAAAGCTTAGGCCTTAAAAATCCAGTGATCTCTAGGACTCTATACAGCTATAGCATTTTATAATTCTAAGTTTTCAAATAAGCTTAGAATAAAATGAAATACATTGGTCCATGATGATTTACAGACATCAGATCTCTCATCTCCGTATCATCAAAAAGTTAAAAAAATCTGTATGAATGCCATAGCATCTTTTAATCTTTAACCAAGATTACTCCTGTCCGAAATTGTGTGACATTTTACATTTGAATCATCTGCCATTAGAGGAATTTAAGAGGGTATGAGAATTTTTGCTTCCTTATTCCCAGTTTTACATTTTATGTCTGCCACTTAAAATCAGACAACCCAGCATCCAAATCATATGCTGCAATATAGTGATCCTGGCTGATGTGTAGAAGCAAATGTTTTTGGCTCTCAAACTGGGTTTCTGTCTCCCTAGAGATACCATACCTCAAGGATTACAAACTCTAATGCTTACAGGAGCCAAAAAAGAAAGCAAGAGAGTGAAGGTAGCCAGCCAGGGAATGTGATGGCTACAGACTGCACACGCCATCTAAAGGGAAGAGAGCATCTTGAACTCCAAACATGTCACCATGTAGCAATGGAAGACTAGTATTGTTAGATCTGATGATTTTTCAATGAAAATGAGGGAAAAAGTTCCAAAACATTATATAAATTCTCCCAAGTTTAAGTGTTGATAACAAGTTCAAATTCTCAAACCAAATGAAATAAATTTCAAGTATGAATTCTGCCCAAGAGCTCTCACAGTAGCACCTCTGAATGGGGTATAAAAGTTCCATAACTTCCCAGCTTCCCTCAGGCTCATCCCCAAATCCCCATCCAGTTCTATGGCATCTAAACTCAAGACTTAACAGGAGGGAATAGTCCAGCCCTGGGTAAAGTTTCTTATTTTGGCAAGTCTTCTTATATTTCAGTTAAAATCTGTTCCCTGCAAGAAGGCAAGACAAGAAGTGTTATATCCTTCTACAGCTATGCCAGGAACTATCAGATTACAGACAAACGGAACTCATCTAGTTTCTTTACACACACCCAGGCTGATCAGCACTACACTCTGTAACCCCAGAAGAGCAGAACCTACAAATTCATCACCTAAAATTAAAATTCATTTTTGTTAATGCACTACTTATAAGTCCAAAGCATGAGCATCAGAAAATCACAGGACTGAAAGTTAAACGGGATAGCTCTGAAGTCTACTGCCCTGCCCTGCTCCCTGCAAAATTATACAAGACTATGGAAGAAAAATCCTTTAGAAGCTTACATTAAAATTAATAAAGAAATTTAATTAATTGATAAATTAACTAAATTAAATTAATAAATCTTACCTTGTGCAGGGTTAACTGCCATTGCACAAATTCTGAAACATTCCCCCAGATAATAGAGACTTCTGAAATTCAAAAGTAACCAGAAATAATTTAATTTGTATGAGCACCCATGTGATAGTATTTTAGTACTAATAAATAAAATTGCAAAGATGAAATGTGGAAGCAAAAAAGAACAAAGCCATTCCCAAAAGTTAGTTTTCTTAGTAACTAAAGCTTATGCCCTTAAGTTTGGAAGATGTGATTTTAAAAAATAATAATAATAAATTTTTAAAGAAAATCTTTCTACAGCAAAGAGAACTTTGTCACACTCTTTTCTTTATTCTATAATTAGAGTTAATCAAGTATAACCCAGCCTTTTCTTAATTACCCATTCAGCAACCATTTTTCAGGTGTCTACTATATGCCATTTGACTAATAAAAACGTTCAGTCTCATACCATTCCATAACAAGAATAAGGCTAAAGGCCACTAAGGCATGAAAGACTTGTGTGTACATTAATTTTTCCTACACTTCTATTTTTGCTAAATTCTCAAGTCTGCGTTTTATTCTCATCTTTCACTGCTAAGTTACCAGCTGTCACTTGTGCTACTAGTGCTCTGTGGGCTCCTGGACCAGACATAATTCATTGCTTCTTATATGTTGTGTTCTGGAAATAAGAAATATACTAATAGTATATTTAAAATAGATATGTATTTTTTGAGACAGAGTCTCACTCTGTTACCCAGGGTGGAGTGCAGTGGTGTAGTCTCAGCTGACCGCAACCTCCGCCTCCCAGGCTCAAGCAAGTCTCTTGTCTCAGCCTCTCTAGTAGCTAGGATTACAGGTGCCCACCACCATGCCTGGCTAATTATACTTTTAGTACAGATGGAGTTTTGCCATGTTGGCCAGGCTGGTCTGGAACTCCTGACTTCAGGTGATCCAGCCACCTCAGCCTCCTAAAGTGCTAGGATCCACTTTAGGAGGCTGAAGTAAGCCACTGTGCCCAACCTAAAATAGTAATTTTTAAAAACACACTTTTGAGTAGTACAAGGAGCTTTACTTTGAATTAATGCATACACTTTGCACTATCAATTTTGAGTGATTGGAGGAAGCCTTCTATGTTTATCTTCTTGTTCTGAGCTGTGTTCCAAAAAACTGTGGTAGAAAAATAGGTATTTGCTAATAACTGAAATGTTAATGTGTGATATGAACATATACTCTAGGTATGGCTAATATTTTGAAGTCTAGAAAATTATATCTGTGTTAACATTGCCATTCCAGACTTAACCATGTGTTTATCAAAGATACTTTCCAGTTAGGAACTCTTTGCAAATCAAGAGTGTTAAGTTTTAATTCTCACAATAAAAAATCAAGAACAGTGACATTAACCAGCCTGTCATTTGGAGACATAGATGCAGTTGGTGACAAAAGGCCAATCCTTTTTCCCCTTTGGAAGCTGCTTGCTTTATTAGCTTATCTTTTTTCTAACATTTTAATCCACTAACTAAAGCAGGGAGACTGCAGTCCTTTAATTATGATATATCAGAGTTATAAATATTTTTATTAATAGGCCAGGGAAGAGGCAGGTTTGGTGGATGAGATGTAGCAATGACTCTTATGAATATCTGGGAACAAGTTTGGTGATGGAAACTCACTCGCCCATTAATAAAATTAGGGCTGCATGCTACGATGAGCATGAGGGCCAAGATTCTGCCCCTCACTAATCACTTTCTATAATCAGGCATTTCCCCTGCTCTGCCCATCCTACATTGTTCCCTACTCCTCCCCCACCCCCACAGCCCAAGGAATTCTACTACTGGCTGCTAAGAACTAAGAACCAGGGCTAAATATATACTGAATTAAAATTTTCATCATGACCAAAAATTTCATTAATTCACTAATGCAAAATCTCAGTATCCAGGTGTACATGGAGAACTTTCAAAGTTATGAAGTCAAAATTTTTAAATTTATGACTCTAAAAGTCTTTAACCTCTAAAAGCTCATATTTTAGGAAAACAACTATACCAAAGAGGAAATGATTTCATTAGAGCCAGGAGAAAGTGTATAGTTTGCAACCAAACTCCAGTGAAAAGACTCAGCTGAGTTTAATTGAAAATTTGAGAATTTTCATTTGGATGATGTGTACAAGCCCACTGCATTGTTTTATTTCAGAAAGCCTAATAGATAACATTATATAAGAGCAGAACTAACTATTCTAAACTAAAATTTGCTGTTTTGCATTGAAGAGAAAGGAAATTATGCACATCATTTGCCTTAGGAAGCTTCAGGCCCCTGCAATTTAATCGGAATAGATTTGGAAATCTTATAGACTGTAATTTCTAAATTTGACTTTTTCTGACATCCCAAAGAGTCAGAGAGGATATCATTAAATCTCAAAATGAAAAATATCAGTCTAAAAAGTAAATTGAAGAATATATAATACTTCTATATATATATATATATATTTTTTTTTTTTTTTTGAGACGGAGTTTCGCTCTTGTTACCCAGGCTGGAGTGCAATGGCGCGATCTCGGCTCACCGCAACCTCCGCCTCCTGGGTTCAGGCAATTCTCCTGCCTCAGCCTCCTGAGTAGCTGGGATTACAGGCATGTGCCACCATGCCCAGCTAATTTTTTGTATTTTTAGTAGAGACGGGGTTTCAGAATGTTGACCAGGATGGTCTCGATCTCTCGACCTTGTGATCCACCCGCCTCGGCCTCCCAAAGTGCTGGGATTACAGGTTTGAGCCACCGTGCCCGGCCAATACTTCTATATTTTAAGGGAAGCCAGGGTTGTTATTTATTTCAATCAAACACCGAAATGCCAAGAATCACTATTATAAAGAACTAATCCCTAGACATATACTCTATATTCAGTTCAATCTTCATTTGACTTAAAATTCTTAACATTTCATGTACTCAAAAACCATATGTTTGAACACAGTGCCAAGTAACAGGAATACTGTGTCTTATATATGATCGTTATAGAAAAAAAAGAAAAAGAACTACATGCCTGTTCTGTAAATTATATAATAATATATGCTTGAAAAAGACATTAATGTCAAAAACCAGATGTTTCCTGATGTTACAAACTTGCCTTCTAAAATCAAAATACTGATATACAGAACAGCATAGCAGAATAGTAAAGGATGATTTGAACAAAGAAACATTTTCCCAGAGCATAATGTAATGGAAAAAGAGCATTGTGGTATGTGGAAGACCCATAGCCTTCCTGCCTCCAAGGACTCAAGTTTTACCCAGTTCACCTCTGTTAAATGATGACAGGGCCTTCTAAGCACTATAATTACATAATATTAAACTTTTCTAAGATACACAGAACCAGCAAGAATATACAATGATGAATATATACACTGATGAAAGTTAACATATGTGTTTTGCTGAGTTTGAAGTTTATTTTCATCCTCTTTGCAATAGCTCATTTGTGAAAGTTAATAAATAGTAGTTTGACTTAAACTTCTGTCATTCTACCAGTAAAGCCCTTGCCGAAGTCACCAATGGTCTCTTTGTTAATACATTCAATGAACGTGTTTAATTTACCTCTTCTGAGCCCTCAGCCATGTCTGACACTGTTGATCAATCGCTGTCTTTAAGCACCTCTCCTTTTGGCTTTTATACTACTAGTATCATTTTGGTTTTCTCCGAACTGGCCATTTCTTCTTAGTCTCCTTTGCAGGCTTATCCTCCTCAACCCAACCACTAAGTGGTAGGGTCTTTCAAGGTACAGTCCTAGGCTGCTCCTCTTTTCACTCTATACTCTCCACTTCAGCAGTCACACCCACACTCAGGAATATTCCAGAATGTTTATTTACAGACCCAGACTCCTTGCCACCTCCTCTTTGTGATTCTGGACCCATTTATCCAACTGCCTACTTAGACATCTCACAAATGCCCTTCAACTTGCCCAAAACCATAATCTTTCTTCCCTGAAATCTTATCTTTTATCCAGGATTTCAGTCTCAATGAATGGCACCACTATTTATTCAGTTACATGAGCCAGGAACTCAGAAGTCATCCTTGAGACTTCTGTTATCCCTCACCCCAGTCATCCCGTCCATCACCATAATCTGTGTATTTTTACCTCCAAGTTGCCCTTCATTCATTGCATTCCTCTTCATTTCTACTACTACCAGTTTTAGACCAAGCTACCATTTGTTCTCATCAAGACTATTGCTGTAGGTACTCTTGACCCTCCTATTCATTCCCCACATGGCAACCAGAGTGATCTTTTCCAAATATAAAATGATCATATCATTCAACTTCTCCTTGACCTCCAGCTCAAAACACTTAATGGCTTTCCATCAGGCTTAACTTAAAGGTCAACATCCTTAATATGACTTACAAGGCCCCACATTACTTGACCCTTTCTTTTCTCTCTAGCCTACTTTAGAATATACTCCCTCCCCACATCTACAGAGCAGCTAAATAACTGTCTTTCAGTTGCTCTATCACATCATACTTTTTTTTTTTTTTTTTTTAGACAGAGTCTTACTCTGTCACCAGGCTGGAGAGCAGTGACATGATCTCGACTAATTGCAACCTCCGACTCCTTCGTTCAAATGATTGTCCTGCCTCAGTCTTCTGAGAAGCTGGGATTGCAGGCACTCATGACCATGCCCAGCTAATTTTTGTATTTTTAGTAGAGACGGGGTTTCACCATGATGGCCAGGATGGTCTCAATCTTCCTGACCTTGTGATCCGCCTGCCTCAGCCACCCAAAGTGCTGAGATTACAGGCATGAGCCACTGTACCTGGCTACATCATACTCTTTCCATAGAGTTTTTGCCCCTGTCATTCTCTTTGCCAAAATCATTTTCACTGCACCTTCACTCTCTACCTCTCTAATCCATTTCATTTACTTAATTTCAACTCATTCTTCACAACTTAGCTCAGATTATCCCTTCTTTAGCCATTCTTGGCACACACCCATCCTTATTCTCTATTAAAAATTCTCATTTGACTTCCAGTTCTTGGTTCTGTATGTAAGGAAGTCACCACTCCATCCTAACAACTAAAAAGTTGACCAGACTGAAAAATCAACAATTCTTCTTGGACCCATAAGATAAAGGAGAATACAGGGCAAACTCTTACTGTAAAACTGGAAAGACAGAAGGGCAAATACCAGTAGGAATGGTTTCCTAAAACAGACTCACATGCAGAAACAGCATCAAGAACCAATGCTAGGGTAAGAAAACCCAAACTTAATTGACAAATATCTGGAGGCTCAGTGTAGACAACACCAAGAGTTAAAACCTCCACAGGGACCAAATCATGGAGGAGTGTCCCCACATAGTGTAAGATTTACTTCCCAGAGCTCAGCCAGGTTCCCACAGTTAAATATCCAGGTAAATATGAGAGAAAAATCTTCTTGTGCTTCTGTTGGGGAAAGAAAAAAAATACCATTTTAAAATATGCCAGAGCACTCTGTTGTTCTTAAGGACCTGCCCTTGGAAGAAACTAGTTCACCAGACCCTAACCTGCTGAGATATTACCAGAGCCTACCTGACCTGGGTGAAGGGAAATGACCAACTTCACCCCACGTTAGCCATTCTGTCCTACCTAAGGAGAAAGGAAAAAACTGAGAAACATTTGTAACATTCACAGTCCAGAGGCATAGGCTCACTAAAAGACAGAGACCTGATCATAGGACTATAGAATGCTTCCCCACTCCCCATACCGTACCCCTACATTACTAAAGGCCTATTTATAGCAGTTACTTTTACCCAGTACATCACATCCAGCTATCAAGAAAAAATTACAAGGCATACTAAAAGGCAAAACATACAATGTGAGGAGGCAGAGCAACCATCAGAGCCAGACATGGCAGGGATGTTGGAGCTATCACACTGGCAATTTAAAACAACTATGGTTAATATACTAAGGATATAGTAGACAGCATACAAGAACAGATGGACAACATTAGCAGAGAGATTGAAATCCTAAGAAAGAGCCAAAAATAAATGCTAGCAACTAAAAACACTGTAACAGAAATGAAGAATGCGTTTGATTGGCTTACTAATAGACTGGACGTGACTTAGTAAATAATCTCTGATAAGGAAACTTGAAAAGGAAAGTGAACAAAAACTGGAAAAACAAACAAACAATATCCAAAAACTGTGAGGCAACTGCAGAAGGTGTGTACCCATAATGGGAATACCAGGAGAAAAAAAAAAAAGAACCCCAAATCTAAAAACATAGATTAAAGGTAGATGGATGGAGGAAAATATACCAGGGTAATGCTAACCAAAAGAAACCAAAAAAGCAGGGATAGCTATATAAATTTTAGGCAGAACAGACTTCAAATCAAGGAGAGTTGTCAGAAATAAAGAGCATTACATAATCATAGAGTGTTCAGTTCTTCAAGAAGATGTAACAATTTTTAATGTGTATGCACCTAAAAACAGTATGTCAAATTACAAGAGGCAAAAACGAATAGAACTGCAAGAAGAGATAAACGAATCCCTTATTATACTTGAAGGCTTCCATACTCATCCATCAGAAATTAACAGATCCAGCAGGCAGAAAATCAGTAAAGGCATGGTTGAACTCAACAGCACCATCAAGTGAATGGATGTTGATACCCACAGACTAATTTATCTGACAACAGCAGAATGCGCATTCTTTCCAAGCTCACATGTAACATTCACCAAGACAGACCATATTCTAGGCCATAAAACACACCTTAACAAATAGAAAAGGATAGAAATCATACAATGCCTGCTTTCAGATTACAACAGGATTAAAGTAGAAATGAGTAACAGAAAGATAAGTGGAAAATCCCAGAATACATGGAGACTGAATAATATGCTTCTAGTTAACACATGGATCAGTTAGAGAACTGTCACTACCCAACTTCAAGATTTACAATAAGGTGAGTCATCAAGACAGTGTGATATTGACAAAAGAATAGACGAATAGATTAATAGAACACATTAGAGAGCTCAGGAATAGACCTATATAAATGTAATCAACTTATCTTAGACAAAGAAGCAAAGGCAATGAAATGGAGCAGATAGTCTTTTAAACAAATGTTGCTAGAATAACTGGACATCCACATGCAAAAACAAACCAAAAAAAATGAACTTAGACACAGACCTTACACCTTTTACAAAAATTAACTTAAAATGGATCATAGACCTAAATATAAAGTGCAAAACTATGAAGCTCCTAGAAGATAACATAGGGCAAAATGTAGATGATCTTGGGAATAGCAATGACTTTTTAGATGTAACACCAAAGTAGTAATCCAAGCAAGAAATAATAAGATGGACTTCATTAAAATTTAAAACTTCTGCTCTGTGAAAAACAGTGTTAATGGAATGAGAAGACAAGCCACAGAATGGGGAAAAAATATTTGCATGAGACACTCATGTAAAATATACAAATAACTCTTAAAAACTCAACACTAAAAAAAGAAAAACTCAATTTAAAAATGAGCCAAAGCACTTAATAGATATCTCATCAAAAAAAAACAAACATATGAAAAGGTGCTCCACATTATATATCATCAGTGCATATTAAAATGAGATAACAATGCACACATCTATTAGAATGACAAAAATCTGAAATACTGACAATAACAAATCTTGACAGTAACATGGAGCAACAAGAATTCTCATTCATTGCTCTTGGGAATGCATGGTACAGCCCCTTTGGAAGACAGCCTGGCAGTTTTCCACAAAACTAAACATCCTGTTACCATACAATCTAGCAATTATGCCCCTGGGTATTTACCCAAGTGAATTAAAACCTTATATCCAGTTTTTTAAAACCTGTGCACAGATATTTAAAACAGCTTTATTCATAATTGCTGAAAGCAAACAAGACGTTTTTCAGTGAGTAAATAGATTTTTTTAAAAAAAGAAATCTGTGATACATCTAGAAAAAAAAAAAAAAAGGAATATCCAAGGACTGCAAGGCAGCTGCAGAAGGTGTGTGATACATTTTGATAATGGAATATTATTCAGAACTAAAAAGAACTGAGCTCTCAAGCCACAATGCATATTGCTAAGTGAAAGAAGCCAATCTGAAAAGCCTGTGATTCCAACTATGGAACTGGCAAAACTATGGAGACATCGAAAGATCAGTGGTTGTCAGCTTTGGGATCAGGGATGGGGTGAATAGGCAGAACAGAGGGGAGTGAAAATACTCTGCATGACTATAATGATAGATACATGTTTACTGCTAAGCATCTTGAATGACTATATATAAATTTACAAATATAGCAAATGTTTTTTAACTTCATAAAACCGTTATTATCAGTGGTTCTTTCAGAATGATTTTGAGAGGAAAAGATAGGAGTGATGCAGGGGAAGAGAAAGAAGAAGCATCCGTTCCTGTTTATTTCCTGTGGTCATTTAGTTAAAACCTAAGCCAACATCTCAAAGTTATAATGGCTTGATAATAATAAGAGCTTGCATTTTTGCAGCACCTTTCTTCCAAAGTGCTCCTATGGTTTGCAGACAGATCTGAGCCTCACTTTGGGGTGACTCTTCTACATACAATGCTAAAAACAGATCTTGTCTTGCAACTAACCAAACCTAATGAGTTTTCTCTGAAAAGGTGCCAAGTCCCCTTCCAAAGTACTTACCCTGTATCTTTTTATGATCATCTCATTTTCTTAATGCAACTGCACGATGTCAAAGGCAACAAAAGCAACTATCTTTGCATGAACTCTCAAAAGGAGCCATTTAGGGTCTCTGCACTTCTAGGTAGGCAAAAGGGTTGTGATCCATCCCAGTGGGTGGGGTGGGAGTGGTTGTTTTCACCTAACCTTTATTGAGCACTTACTTTGTGCTAGTCCCTGAAGTAAGCGCTGTCTATGCATCACCTAGTTGAATCAAAACTAGAAAAATGTCTCTGAGTGACCAGCGTGGGCCTGTTGCGATTACCAGCTAGTTGTCAAGGAAACTTAGCCACTGCAGGCCAGGCTGAGCCAGGGAATAGAAAAGCGGATCTTCCTGCCTCCCCAACAAGCATATGAAGGTTCAATTCCCGGGGCCACCCCCCCTCCCCGCTACCCAACACACTTAACGCTTACCCTCCTGGCTCAGCGAGGGCAGCGTGGGCAGCACCTGCCTGCCCAGGTCCTGCAGGGCAGGGGCCATCGTGTCCAACATCTCCAATTTCCAGTTGACTCCGTACTGAATCCTCGATGGGTCTCGTCTTTCTTATATGGAGTGTGTACAGAATGATTTTCCCACCCTCCAGCCCCTTCTCCACGGAGCTTTGGATGTGCCTTAAAAAATAAGAAAGACGAAAATCTTGACTCTGTTGACTCGTTCTCTTCTTTCTTAAATAAAAAACATTCTTTCTCCCTGTCCCTCCCCACTGCTCTGGCTCTTGGGCGGCTCCCTCTGCAGGAGCCGCCGGAACTGCTGTCCCGCACTGAGTGTACAGACCCGAGCCCTCTGGACCAGCGAGAGACCCGGTGAGGGGTGAGCTGCAGCCTCGAGGTGGGTCGTAGGACCAGGAAGCATAGGGCCGGCAGAGAGAAGGACGGGGCGGGGCGCGTCGCTGGGACGCGAGAAAGGCTCGCTCCGTTGCTAAGGCGTCAAGGCTGGGATTCGACCTCACCCCTTTAGATGGGCAGCTTCCAGGTTGCCCAGGTGATTTGGGCGCTCGAGACAGCGAGGTTGGTGCTAACTAAAAAAAAAAAAAAAAAAAAAAAAAAAAAAAAAAAAAAAAAAAAATTTTCACTTCTGTGACCCTGGGCAGCGAAGAAACATAGTTAGAGTGGTAGGTTTTGTACCTTGGACAAATCGAGGAATGCCTTTTGCCCAGAGAGATGGATATTTGAGTCCCCAAATCTTTTGAGAGTTTTGAGTTTGAGCTGGAGTTTGTTTCTTGGTTTGCTTTTCCCTGGACTCTCTTCCTAGGAAATGGAGGGCTGGAGAAGTGGGGAGGAGGTAATTGACTTTTTTAAACTATTGTCATTTCCCCCTCGTTTCTACCTGTCACCAGTCTCATCCTGAAGAATTTTGTGCATGTTCTCTCCTCTGCTGATAATTATCACAAGCTGAACATCCCTATGCAAACCCCATCCAGGTCAAGAAATAGAATGCTAGCACATTCCACAGATCAGCATCTCATTTCCCCTCCAGTCATTAGCCAACACATACTGCAGGTTCCTTTTGCCTTTTGAATCTTTGGAATCATATAGCATGTATTCTTTTGTGTCTGGCGCTATTCAAATTCACATCATTTCTTCATTTACACGGTTGCATATTATTTCTTTATGTGTGTATTGCACAATTTATGCATTCCAGTGTTCATTTGAGTTGCTTCCCTTTGAGGCTACTGGGAATAACGCTGCTGCAAACATGCACACAGAACACTTTTGACAGCTGTATATACTCATTTCTGATGTGTATAGAACTAGGAGTAGATTCATGGGTCATGAGAAATGCATCTGATCAATTCTAATAGATAATTGAGCTATTTTTAGTGGCAATATTGGCATTATTGATCCATATTAAGATAATGAATTTATAAAAATAGTGTTTTACAGTACATTAGATTTTGAATTATAGTGATTGTAAGGTATATTGCCGAGTCGAAATGAGGAAACTGAAGCCAGTATATGAAAATGAAAATCCAATTTATTCAGCTCCCGGGCGAGTTTCAATGGTCCGGGATGGGGCCAGAGAAGTCGCACTTAACTTCTCAGGGCAGGGGGTTTTATAGGGGTTAGAGGCGATTGATTGGATATTGGGGAAACAAAGCATAGGCAATTTTTATTAGTTGTAGGGAGACAGGGCCCAGACGGGGCGAGCCACTATAGGTAGGGAGGTGGGACTTATTAGGGGTGGGCTGGCTAAGGATTCATGGAGCAAGCTGCCATTGGGTAAGGCATGGCGGGATTTCTTAAATTTTCGCGGGTTCAAATGTATAGTTTAGTGCTGAGAGTGCATAATTTAGTGCTGAGGTCCAAATGCATGGTTTATTGCTGAGAGTGTATAGTTTAATGCTGAGGTTCAAATGCATAGTTTAGTGCTGAATATAGACCTGGGGGTAGAATGCAGAAGTGGGTGAGGGGGAGCCCATATGGAGACGCCAGATGCTGAGTAATGTGTCCTGGCTGATAAGCTGTTATCAGGCATGAAGAGGAGTGGGTGTTGTTTGTCCGGCTCCCAGCAAGGCCATCAACCTTATAGTAATGATACTTTTTAATCTCTAGAAAAGCTGTCTTCGGTTCCAGAAGATGGTTGTGGATGCTAATTATTAGTGAATTTTAGATGGCAAAAGGAAGATCTAAAAAGGATAAGGACAAAGACTTTTCTTCCAAGGTCTTATTTTCCTTCTGTCAAATGTCTCTTGACAAAAGAGGCTGTATAGATACATGTAACCCTGTGTTCACTAGAAACTTCTAATGAGCTATAAATATATATATTGAAAATACATACTTTTTAGTTTCTGACAAAACTCAGGCAAACCATGCACTTCCACTGCTACAGATTCATTCCTTGTATATATTGGCATGATACATACAAAGATATATGTATGTGCAACATTGTTTGTAGTGCTAATTCTTAGAATTGGCCTAAGATGACCATTATAGGGAATTGGTTAAATTGTGAATACATACATTGAAATATATTCTCAACAGTTTACGAGCTGATGTTGAAAAAGTTTCAAATTACAGTAAGTGAAAACCAGTATCAGAATAGTATGTATATATAATGCAATCCTGTTTCCTTCAAATGTACGTATGTAAGTATGCATACATATTCATATGTATTTTTGTAAACATATGGGATATTTGAGGAAAGATACACACACAAAAATTAACAGTGGTATTTTGAGATCCTGCAAAATTGTGTGTGGAGGGGGAGGTGGCATTCCAATAACTTTTACATTCACTTTTCTTCTTTATTTACTGTTTACCAAGAGCATAAATTACTTTATAACATTTAAGGTAATTTACCAAAGAGGAAGAGAATGTAGTAATTTATGTAAACACTGAAGGAAACAAACAGGGCCAAAATTTTCCCAAGTATTTCAATGTACATTTACTTTTTTGCAAGCTCCAACTTGCCTTGCAAAACCCACATTGAATGGGCAATCCTTTTTACCCACGCCTCAAGGCACACATGATATTAAGTGGCTTATATTAAAGACAACTTGGAAGACTATTGAAAAAGAATACACACACACAAAATAACAAAATAAAAAATAAAAAAAAACTGCTAAAAAAATACTCATTACACAACACCAGAATAGAAATTTGCAATAAATAATTTAACCCATATCTATTGAGTATCTAATTTGTGATAAGCACTTTGCTAGTTGCTAAAAGGAATACAGACACTTACAGAAAAGCCCTACAGATGAGAGGTTCACAATTCATTTTTCATCATTTTAACAAATATTTACTGCAGGAGGTTCTGAAATCAGGATTGGGTTTCAAAGTCAAAGAGTAAATTGAAAATTACAGGCCAGGTGTGGTGGCTCACACCTGCAATCCCAGCACTTTGGGAGGCTCAGGCAGGTGGACCACAAGCTCAGGAGTTCAAGACCATCCTGGCCAACATGGTGAAACCTCATCTCTACTAAAAATGCAAAAATTAGCCAGGCGTGGTGGCAGGTGCCTGTAATCCCAGCTACTTGGGAGGCCGAGGCAGGAAAATCAATTGGACCCAGGAGGTAGAGGTTAGAGTGAACCAAGATCGCCCCGTTACAGTTCAGCCTCATGACAGAGTAAGACTCTGTCTAAAAAAGAAAAAAGAAAATTGGATGTAGGAAAACTACTCTAGAAATCCCTTCTTAGGAAGGGACCATGTCAGATACCCACATATGCCATTTCTCAGTTTATAGACCCAGTGCAAACAGTTTCTTCCCTCACACTGAAGCAGATAACTTTCTTCAGGAGAGATGTCGTGAAACAGTTGCTAGAGTTTAGGAGTCTTTAGCAGTCTTATTTTAAAAATTCAATCAAATAGTAGAATTGTATGTACTCAACACTGTGCCATGCTTACACTATGAAATGCACTCATGAACTGAGACAGATTGAAAATATAGCACATGTATATCTTCAGTCCCTTGCTTACTCAAGGATTTGCCCAGAAACAGACTTGCAGTAGCTTCGTAGAGTGTCAACTTAGCTAAGATAGAACTACATTTTCCAGAATTCCCTTTCCTATATGATTCTAGGTTAGGGTTAGTCAAAAGAGAATGTGTATGAGATTTGGAAGGTGGAAGTAAAGCAGCAGCCATTTGATCTGAAGCCCTGAAAGTCATCGTAGGGCCAGGCATTCATCTGCCAGCTCACCGTATAGGCATGGGCCAGCAGCCTGGGCTGCAGCTCTGTAGCTCTGCATCTCCTGCCAGATCTCCTCATTTGCTTCTCTGAATCTTAGACCAGGTACATGCACAGCAGTGTTGCCAAAAGCATCTTCTCATCCTTTAAGACACTCACATCACTGAGGCTGGATGCAAGGAAAGATGTAGGTTGCAGTTTGTCCTCACAGGATCTACTTTGCCTGTGTGTAACTGCCCAGCGGGTTCTTCTTGCCCACTGTCCAAATGAAGCTAATTTATCAAGATGGGGGAATTGTAATAGAGAAAGAGTTTAATACAGGTTGGCTGGCTACGTGGAAGACTAGAGTTTTATTATTACTCAAATCAGCCTCCTTGAAAATTGAGAGGCTAGAGTTTTTTAGTTTGGTGGGAAAGGAGCAAGGGGTGGGGAATGCTGATTGATTGGGTCAGGGATGAAGTCATAGGAAGCTGAAGCTGTCCTCTTGTGGTGAGTCAGTTTCTGGTGGAGGCCGTAAGACCAGATGAGCCAATTTTTTGGTCTGGAATGTGTCACTAATCCATCAGAATGCAGGGTCAGAAAAATCTGCTCAAACATCAATCTTTTTTACGATAGTAATATTATCTATAGGAGCAATTAGGGAGGTTAGCAGTCTTGTGGCCTCTGGCTGCATGACTCCTAGGCCATGGTTTCCGAGCTTGTGGCTAATTTGTTGGTTTTACAAAGGCCATCTGGTCTCCATGCAAGGAGGGAATTTGTTTCAGGGAGGGGCTGTTATCATCTTTGTTTTAAAGTTAAGCTATAAATTCCTCCCAGAGTTAGTTCAGCCTATGCCTGGGACAAACAAGGGCAGCTTGGAGGTTAGAAGCAAGATGGAGTTCATTGGGACAGATTTCTTTTACTGCCATAATTTTCCCATGTCAGATTTTTCTCACTGTCGTAATTTTTGCGAAGACGATTTCACTTGTGGGTTCCAGATTGTTCTCACCAGTTCTAATCTTTCCTTATTCTTCCCCAGTTCATGACCATCTTTTCTTCCTATTGGCCTTGCCAGCTTTAGGCCCTACACCAGACACAGAGGCCAACACCAGACAGAGATGACTTAACCAACTCTTAGAACTATGTAAGGGCCCAGTGCTCATAATAAATTTTATATTTTCTATCACTCTTACAGGTTCTGCTTCTCTGATTGAACCTGAATGATAGAAAACTGGTAG